ATGTCCAAATGATGGCCTTTCTATCCGACATATATTTTACATTGTTTGCCCAGTTTCGTTTGGTGGCTAGTATATACCCACTTCATCTATTTGAGTCCGTTCTGAAGACAAGCTGGAGTGATGGCGACCTCTTGTTTCACCGTTGTCCATTGTATAACATATATAACAATGACTGACATTGTGGAAACAATTTTAATCCGTCTTTTCAGGTGGGGCTGTCGTGTTAATCATTGTCATCGTTGGTGTCATCTGCTTTCGGAAGCATAGAGGCAACAGAGTTACCAACTCTGAAACTCCTCTTCAGGTACCAGGTTCTTATTTGCTTATATATAAAACAATATTTACATTATATCATGATATGAGGTATACACATACCATATTTAATATACGTGCAAATACACATACAAAAGAACGTAACGAATTGAGTTATTAATAATAAACGTGAACCATGTTTCTCTTTGTCAAAACAAGTATACGATATATTCTTATCAACGCTAATGTAGGGCAGGACTCCTCGCGAACTCCTAGTGTTATTACTGAATTTTAGTGATCCATACATGCAGTTTTAACACCATTTTTGCTTTTTATGCCCAAAGGAATCTGTTTCGGCTTATAATCGAAACTGGTTCTTCTCTGGTGTTGGCGTCCTATAATTCAGACCCGTGAAGATCCGGGGTAGAATAGGTCTTCAGCAACCCATGCTTGCCATAAGAGGCGACTTTGCTTGTCGTGAGAGGCGACTAACGGGATCGGTTAGCCAGGATTGCTGACTTGGTTGATGCATGTCATCGTATCCCAATTGCGTAGATCGATGCTCATGGTGTCAATCACTGGATTGTCTGGTCCAGAGTCGAGTATTTACAGACCGCCGTCATGTAGCTGAAATATTGCTGAGTGCGGCGTTAAACAACAAACAAACAAACAAACCCTATAATTCATGTAGGGAAATACCAACTCTGATCCTTCTTTCAGCCAAACGAGAACAAAGAAGACCCAAGGTCAGGAAATACAAACAATTCACCTTCGCCTCCTCCTCCACCACCACCACCCCCACCTCCTAAACCGCCGGGCCTGATGAAGCCAGGAGCTACATGATAACATTGTATACATACGTTACGCAGAGGTGATGTTCAATCTATGGTCAGCCTGTTCGGGACTCAACTCTTCTAGTGTGAGCAGGTATCCTCAAGGGTAACTGTAAACGTGTTCATAGCTCATGGCTAAACCGTCCATGGTTTTCTTCTAGTTTGATTGATGTTATACTGCGTTGAACTTAGACCCTCATATCTTTACTAAAGTTTTCAATAATCTATCAATTTTAAATTTCAAATTCAAAAATTGTCTAGCAAATTTGTCTTCACTAAATCTAATCTTGTGTATCCGATTATTTCCCTTAAAGATCCGAATGCACACATTAAGACCTAACTGTCCAGGTCTATTTTGTCAAGTTGTTTGTTGTGTAGGTACTTAGATGATTGGCCATCTGTAATTTCAGGTTAACAGGTGTTGATAACTGTACTTTCTATAACTCAGAATCTGAACCTTGGCTGCAAAGACACATGTTTATATATATATTGCATAAAACAAATGTCCATGGCTTAATTCCTTTACTATAATTGTAAGGGTTTTATAAAGATTGACAAGCACGCTGCACTGAAAATACCATTTTCAAATTCAACAAACTATTAATGTTGTGTGATTCAATGTATAACCTTGTGTGGTACCTGTCTCTACCACAATACAGCATCATATCTGTCCTACACGTTTGTACAACGTTGTTGGAATGAATGTAAAAATGGAAAATTAAACACAAGGACCATATCATCATAATTTTCAGTTGTCAACAAATTTATATGATCAATTAATTTTGACTGTGTATATTCAACGTACCTGGCTTTGAACAACGATATTGTACATGCTATTTATTTATAAGTAGAGATAATTTATGGATAACGACTTCTTTCTTTACTGTTGTTATCCATAAATTATCTCTGCTTTGTCATCGGTCATCTTCTAAGTAATGCCTATCAAGCAATTAATATGTATCTTCTTAGGACAGCTTCGAAAATTCATAAGTTCATAAATGATTCATGACGATATGTGTGATGAAAAATATTCAGTGCCATGCACAGAACAAATAACACTGTGTGTTATGCTTGCTTTGGGTATTCACAATGGATGCATATTTTGATATAATACATGTGTTTTTCATATTTAGTGTCGACATGTTTATTTTTTAAAGCAACGTAGCATGGATTAAAATACGCAGTTTTTCTTAATGTTTGACATGATTTTATGTTTATTGCATAGATAATTGGTTTGACTTCGATTAAACCTTTTGATTATAAAATGAACTTCCATACCATTTAGAATATCCGCACAGTTTTATCTGCTGTTCCTTGTACAGTCAAACATAATACCCATGGCCGAAAAACCATTTTAAAACCAATACCACTAGTCGCCGTCACGTTAACTGTTAACATAGGACGCCCAAATGTATGCAGTTGGACGCCTTGGACGCGAAACTACTGATCAAACACATATTGCTTAACGCCATAATAGGACACATACTGCAAAAACCCTGAGACTGCATAAAGTATAACCCTCATTTACTCAGTGGATCATTGGTGTGTAATGTATTTGTAATATTAATAGTAAATAGAATGAATATCAATAGTACATGTAAATGTTTGTCTGTATCCGTACAAAAGTTGTGATGCTTGTTATGTAAAGCACTTGCGCATGTTCGAGATAGTTAAGCTCAGTTCCACGGATAACGGGAGTTACGACAAGAGTGAATATGTTTTTACGCCGCAATATTCCAGCAACGGCGGGAGACACCAGAAATGGGCTTCACACACATGTACCCATGTGGGAATCGACCCCGGGTCTTCGGCGTGACGAGCGAACTCTTTTACCACTGGGCTACCCTACGGTCCCAGTTCCGACAAGGCATCATATATACTCCTATATGTTTGTTCATTGAGATATTGTTTTCATTTTTCCATTTATTTAATACAACAACGAGATCTCAAATACAAAGTAGCATGCGTAGGTGTGGAACGTCTTATTATTCCTGAAGTGTTCATTCTTTTAAGGGGCGGTCGGGTAGCCTAGTGGTTAAAGCGTTCGCTCGTCACGCCGAAGACCCGGGTTCGATTCCCGACATGGGTACAATGTGTAAAGCCCATTTCTGGTGTCCCCCGCCGTGATATTGCTGGAATATTGCTAAAAGCGGCGTAGAACCATACTCACTCACTCATTCTTTTAAAATGATGTCCATTTAGTAGGTGACAAAGGCATGTCATGATTCCAATAATGTGACTTCTTGTTCAATGTTTCACGTGTCTCCATTATATGTGAGAAGCACTTTACTTCTTAACGTCGTGTAAATGATCTGACAATCTGAATCTTGGTTATCTTTGTCATTGAAATATTTCTTTCCTTACATTGTTAATTATCCACTACAATTATTCTTCCTTGGTTGTACGTAAATGTCAGTACCATCACTAAATATTTGTTCTGTTGTATTTTACTTGACACTCCCCGAGAACAACGGCTAACAGTGCAGTTAGTTACTGTGAAAATAGCTGACAGTGCAGTTAGTTACTGTGAAAATGGCTAACAGTGCAGTTAGTTACTGTGAAATAGCTGAAAGTGCAGTTAGTTACTGTGAAAATGGCTAACAGTGCAGTTAGTTACTGTGAAAATAGCTAACAGTGCAGTTAGTAACTTTGAAAATAGCTGACAGTGCAGTTAGTTACTGTTAAAATGGCTAACAGTGCAGTTAGTTACTGTGAAAATAGCTGACAGTGCAGTTAGTTACTGTGAAAGTGGCTAACAGTGCTCTTAGTTACTGTGAAAATAGCTGACAGTGCAGTTTGTTACTGTGAAAATAGCTGACAGTGCAGTTTGTTACTGTGAAAATGGCTAACAGTGCAGTTTGTTACTGTGAAAATAGCTGACAGTGCAGTTTGTTACTGTGAAAATGGCTGACAGTGCAGTTGGTTACTGTGAAAATGGCTAACAGTGCAGTTAGTTACTGTGAAAATAGCTGACAGTGCAGTTTGTTTCTGTGAAAATGGCTGACAGTGCAGTTGGTTACTGTGAAAATGGCTAACAGTGCAGTTGGTTACTGCGAAAATGGCTGACAGTGCAGTTAGTTACTGTGAAAATAGCTGACAGTGCAGTTAGTTACTGTGAAAATGGTTAACAGTGCTCTTAGTTACTGTGAAAATAGCTGACAGTGCAGTTTGTTACTGTGAAAATAGCTGACAGTGCAGTTTGTTACTGTGAAAATGGCTGACAGTGCAGTTAGTTACTGTGAAAATAGCTGACAGTGCAGTTAGTAACTGTGAAAATGGCTAACAGTGCTCTTAGTTACTGTGAAAATAGCTGACAGTGCAGTTAGTTACTGTGAAAATGGCTGACAGTGCAGTTTGTTACTGTGAAAATGGCTAACAGTGCAGTTAGTTACTGTGAAAATGGCTAACAGTGCTCTTAGTTACTGTGAAAATAGCTGACAGTGCAATTACTGTGAAAATGGCTGACAGTGCAGTTAGTTACTGTGAAAATAGCTGACAGTGCACTCTGTTACTGTGAAATCATCTTATCGCGAACACCTGCTATCATCACTATTTGATAGTGATTCATTAACAAATGCTCATGATATAGTCGGAATCGTACAATCGACTCTGCTTTTAGCAGATATATCTATTGAATATGGAAAGGGTTTTGTCGCATTCATTTATTGTGACAATAGCTGACAATGCAGTTAGTTACTGTGAATAACTGTTTAACGGACCCTGTGGAGACCTTTGCTTGTTGTAACAGGGGACTGGGTTGGATAGACACGGCAGGTCAGGCTAGGTTGATGGCGTGTCATCGCAACCCCACGCCCTGGGACGTTGCTCATTATATACAACTGGCTTGTCGATTCTTTACAGGACGCATTGATATCGCGGAAATATCCATATAGAACATCAAACAAACAACACAAAAATTGTCCAGCAGCCGATATCTTCGCACAGTGCAGGATGCTACCAATTTGCCATTTTTCACAGATGATCTGTTGCGCGGGTGGAAAACCCTCTACCTGATTAATAGGATTAATCGTATGGATGTGTAAAATCAGTCAATGCATTTTGCAAACACCAAACTATTTCAGCAAGTTTACAATTCTTTTTCCGTCAGATTGGCTGAAAGTTATTAATATGTTCAAAAATATCACAAAAGACTAATACATTATTATGATAGGATTAGGAGCATATATATATATATATATATATATATATATGAAATTGAGCATAAACATGTTTTGAATTCGTTATCGGGATATCATAAATGGAGAAATAATTATTAAACGAATGAAGTAAGTGAAAATTTGAACATTGTGAACATTGACTGTAACATATATGGATAAGAAAATGGAAGATGATACACAAAGTAGCACGCGCAGTTAAGCTACTCGAAACACCAGGATTCAACATGAGTTACTTATTTCCTCTATGGCTATTTGTATTAAGGCCTTCTTATCAACTTTGCCAGCGTTGTTGCAGGGAAAGGCCTGCAGAAAAATGAAATATTTTGGGGCGGTCGAAACGTCACTGGAAGCAGATTGTCGGAAGAGGCCATCACAGAGGGTACGGACGTCCTGGACGTGAACGTCTGGACGACTTGGGATAACACACGCACATATCTCGTTTACGTAGACGTCATCGGGCACGGGCACGACCGTGACGTCATGTATGAGTGGTGACTTCAGCATCTGTGTCTCCAGCCAGGACGGGTAAACCTTATTTATCCCTTTCATGATTAAATCTGACTTTCGACCTTGAACAAAAACATACCCATCAGCATTCTTGAACCCAATGTCATCCATCATGAACCACCCGTCATGCGTGAAAGCCTTTCGATTGGTTTCTGGGTCGTTGTAGTATTCGGTGAAGCATCCATTAGATTTTACAATCAACTGACCACGTGTTCCGCTTTCAACTGGCAGAAGATCGTCGTCGACAACAAGCAGTTGACAGCCTGGATAAACTTTCCCAACGTTGAAGTCCATCAGTTGTTCTGGTGCGGTGTAGCGTTGGTGACAACAGATACCAGCTTCCGAAGAGCCATAGCCAACACCGAGTTCCCGGCATAGCTTTCCTATGGCAGGTGCTATGTTGGTTTTGACGCATTGTCCTGCTATCAATATGATGTCCATGATCCAGTTGGTGTTTGAATACAGGTCATTTCTCGCTAAGAGTGACAAGACAAATGGTGGAGTAGCGAACATGGTATTGATCTTCTCACGACATATAAGATTCCAAATAAATCCTATGTTGTCATTCGGCATTTGGAACCTGTCATCTAGTAGGAACTGTGTTACTGGCCCTTCCAGACAGAAGAAAGGAAATCCTCCAGACCACCCTAAAGGTCTGTCTCGGTATATGGTCTTTTCCAAATTAAGATTATGCATGTCAACATACGTCTGACTGAATCTGAAGAGTCGTTCGTGTGTTGTTGGCACCAGCTTTGAATACCCAGTTGAGCCCGATGTATGTAAGATTGTGGCCAGGTCTGTCGGCTCGAGTGGAATGTCGATTGGGTGCGGGTCATCTTGTTTTCTAAGAGAGTCAAGAAATTCGTTATCTGCATGTATGAATATTACTGTCCTGAGATCAGGTAAAACTTCTGATTGGATTCCATTGCTTGAACACAAGTGAACCTTCTCCCGAACAACTTGCCAGACACCGGACACCGGATTAACCACGAGGACCTTGCTGCCGCTCTTCTGTAGATTGTGAAGGATGTCACTCCCGTCAGACAGCACTGTGGTCCCTGGGATGGTGATGGCTCCTGCAGTCATCACGCCAAAATCACAGACAACCCTCTCCGGACAGTTGGGTAGCGTGGAGCAGACAACATCACCTTTCTTGACGCCCAGTTTCTGCAGGCGACTGGCAAACTTACCCGCGAGTGTCGTCACGTCATTGAATGTCATCACTGTTCTCTGCCTCAGGGGATGTTCAAAGACAAATGCAGGCATATTTGGATATTTCTGTGTCCAGAATTTCAGACGTGCGGGTACGGTTAACACATTCATGTTTGGAACCTGGGAATGAACAATATGAACATTTAACAAGTATACACCCTTTTCCCCCTAGACTCCTGCATGGTTCATATATTTCACACGTTGTTATTTAGTGGCATATAAAGACCGCCTCCATGGTCTAGTGGTAGAGCGTCCGCCCGGAGAGCGGAAGGTCCGGGGTTCGATCCCCGGCCGCGTCATACCAAAAGACGTTAAAAGATGGTACTTGCTGTTACCCTGTCTGGCGCTCGGCATAAAGGGGCTAAACAAGGACTAGTCGGCTCGGAGTCAGTATACTGTGTCTGAGTGGGGTATTCATGTTAAACTGAGGCATGGTATCTCAGTGAGCTAGCACTATAAATCGGCATTAGTCCGGACTAGTACAAGCAGCCACACACACACACACGTGCATGCACGTCGCTATATAAGTGCAATAATATTGGAAGCGACGTTAAACCCTATTTCACCTCAACTCACCTGTAGCGGCATATACAAAATGCGTTATTCTTCGACATCGATGGAGTTGTGAAAACGCAATACCTACCTCTGAAGTAGCGTTGACTTGTCCCGATAACGAGAACATGTACTATATTCACTAGCACGAATTCGGTTAACTAGTATAACGCTGACGGCGTACAGATAAACTATGTTTTGTCACACACATACCTGCACACCGGTGGTCCTCTAACCTGTAGAAAGAAGCCATTTGTCATGAGGTCACAAAATGGTCTATTAAAAAACCAGATTAATTTTCTGACTCATATACATTTTTCGCGATGTTTCACTCACTCCAGTTCGGACCTAAAGATATAATTGCAGCAATAACCTACACATTTAATCACAGACCACCCGCATCCTTCGTATATGTTGTATCGCTTTCATGGCCGGTAGATTAGCCAATACTCTTTATTTGTTCGGCTCCCTGTATACGTGTATACTTTTTTTAAATTAAAATATCTTAGTTTCATATGAATTCAATTATGGACTTAAATACGCAAAGATAATACTATTTTAGATAAACTTTTCGTGTTTGAAATACCTACAATTTATAAAATGATCAAAGGACGTTCAACTCATTCGAAGCCATGAGAAGCGTCATTTTGTGTAAGTCATTTAAGTGGCGGTAGACATGTTGTAGATATATTTATAGTAATAAATTTGTGTCAGTAGCAGATAACGATTGAACTACAATGGAAACATGCAAGTGCTGTCGTCAGATTTGAACATCAGTCGACGATAAGTACAGCCTTTCAGCGTGGTATTTGTACAATAGGGGTGTGTTGGGTTTAAGGCCGCTTTTAACAGTATTCCAGTTATATCACGGCGTGTCAGCTTAATGTGGGAGGAAAGCCCGAAGTGATGCAGGGCACTTATTTTACAGTAATTAGAGCGCCCTTGTTGTGTACGTGGCAGGCTTGGTCGTTCGAGAAAATTCTAGATCGGACAGGTTCCAGAAAGCTGGCGGAACCTTTACAAGAGCAATTCGGGGTTTTTTCAGCCTGATTTGTTTCTTCTCAACTTCCCAAGTGAGGTTTGGATAGTTACCTATTTGAAAGCACCATATCCCCACTAATTTCCATTACTATTCTGGATTCAAGAACCGAGACAGGCCTTTATGAAGAAATTCAATAGTGGCAATATTCTGAACATTCTTGATTGCACTAACATTAATTCTAGGGTCGATTACTTATACTGTCGCCACTGATTTAACACAGTGCATTGACCTTCTTAATTATAAACCTGAAACTGTGTGTTGAAATTATATATAATGTTTTTAATATTCATTCATTCCGTGTGGTCGTCATCCAGTTTCGACGGGGACATGTATGATCGTGCTATGTTTAACATTGCTTTGTCTAGCGATATTTTGCTGATATTTTTATGGCACGCTACTATATGTGTTGGGGTACACGTATGAGAATTAGCATGTGAGTGTCATAGTAGTAAACTTTATGAATACTTTTACTGAAAATATCCCCACAAGCAAAACAAAAGGTTAAGAGTGTTTTCATTCTAACACCCTTGCAGGTGGTAATTCGATGACATTTTGGGGAATGCATTCATATATTTGTTCGATCAGACATATATTTGAAAGCAGATATCCTCTTACAAATGTATCGGCAATGTATTTCTGAACACATCACTTTTGAAAGCTTTACTGAGGCCTCGAACGTTGTAAACCTGATCAAATAACTTTCCAGCAAGACGGAAGACGCTCTTTGAAATCTTGATACCAAAGGCTGGTCCTGCTGGAATATTGCTCCACATAAAGGGAAAGTTGACTATCGGGGAAAGTTGAAGGCATCCCTCTTGGCATACAGTCTTGATATTTTTTGTCACTTTGAATCGTAGATATAATATGAAACTCAAGGCGGATTCAGTGGTGTCTGTTATTTCTCCTTCAGGTGGGTACATCAGTGGAAGAGAATGGCTATTTAACCATTATTGAACGATATCAGATAATCGATATACCTGTAGCTGAAGTTCAACTTCTGGCCCAGATTTCCGTGTATTGATTTGGCCAAATCCGAGCAGAAATTCTTACTCGTTTGCAAAAAGAAACAGATCGGCAAGGACGGGAGCACAATTGGTACCCACGGGGATGCCAACTTGCTCAAAGGTACAATTCCCAAATATCAAATAGATGTTATCCACGAGGAAGTCTTGTATTTCACACATTGTTTTCTCGGTTAACATTTCTTGATTTGAGACAAATTGTTCTCAGCCTCTGGAGATAGATATGCAACAATATCTGTGGTCAACATGTTTGGGAACAAATGCCCAATGGATCAAGGAATGATTTTTTTTCCATTAGTTTGTCCCAGGGATTATGGTGTACAAATTAAAAATTCAGATGGTTTGACATAACTGGACTTGGCTCTATTCTGAGTTTGCAAAAAATGACGCAAAGTCTTTGCGTTTTTTACAGAATCCAAATGTTATGAATTCAATTTGTCTCAAATAATATCTGTAAATATATAGAAAGTCCTTCTTTGATGGTATTAAGGAGTATGGTTCATTTTTGAAACAGGTATTTGGTGGTGCATTTGCTGGACCCAGCAATCTCTATCTCTTTGTACGGAGTTTTAAGGAGCTTTGGAATCCAGTTCCAAAGAGGAATGGACATGTCTTCAGGTTTTAGAGTCAACCAAAAGTTGATGGCACTGATGCGTTTTTTGTAGATTAGTTTCTCAGTAAACATACTGGCCTTATATGTCATAACTTGAAAGGTCACGTCTCTATCCTGAACCAGTGAGTTAACCTATCTTTCCCCAGAACATCCAATAATAAGCACGTACAAAGGATGCAGAGGTATAAAAATTACAGATGACCCTTAGGACCATTAGCACGTGTCTTTGTGACGTTTTGTAACCGGCGCATGTGCGACCCGAGGTATCTTCCTCAAAACAACATCCACCTTGTTCGTGGAAGTTAGGATATAGTGTCACGTATGTTAGATAAGCCGGAATTACCAAAGAGTTCCTAAATTTTTAACAATAACAATATTTTTTCTAATACCAACAAGACTGGCAAATGTAAACACTTTTGAAATAATTTGTTTCGAAACTGCTGAATGAAACCGTTTTGTTTGTTGTTTAACGCCATGATATTCTAGCTCTATGGCGATGGCCTGTAAATAATCAAGTCTTGGCCATTTAATCCAGTGATGATGTTAAAAGCAACCATATATCCCCCCCCCCCTTTTTCTAACCCAGATCTTCTCAAGGGTTTACTGTAAATGTTTCTTTATGACTCTGAACAGAGATTGTGTTTACCATAACAAGAAAGTCATATCAAACTGACAGACTGCATGTATTTGATATTAAAAATGCATTCTTGTGCCGATTGTAAGTGCATGTCCTTGGGGTGAAGGTTCTTATGCGAGCCATATAAGTATTTCAATACAATACTCTAGATCAATTAGCCAAGTTGTTATACCTACTTGACATGTCCAGAGGTGTTCATTATGTAAAAGTGATGGCCAAATGATTTGCACCCCTTGGGCATGCCCCCAACCTATTTGTGTGGGTCCAAATTCCAGAATCGTGCTGACACTGTTTCTTGATGTATCAGCACCATACCTGTTCTCGTGGGTTTAATCAAAGTGGTGACTATATCTAAGACCAAATTGGGCCCCTCATCAATTTCACATGCCCTGATATAACTGAATTACGTACAGTCTGAAGCAGTGTTAGTCCAAACCTACTCACTCTAATAGTGACTGAGTGAATGCTATTTTCAGTCCAAATAATCAACATTCAGACATATTGCAGCTGCCTGTTATCATGTCTGGGTAAGGAAAACAAATTGTTAACAGCATGAGCAACAATCCATCCTGTTTGGGCATTATGACACTCAGCTTGATCACACATTGTCAGCTCTTATGACAAAAAATGAAACACAGAGAATATACTTGATACAAATGCATGACATACACTTCAAGATGCTTTCAAAATACCTGTTTGTCTACCTCACTTCATATAGTCAAAACAAATTCATGTAATAAAGGTTTAAACAAAATGACATTGCATAGTTAGTTGAAGGAAAATAAACAGTGAATGTAACTTACACTGGGACAGATAGGGTCATCAATGGAACAAAGAGAGTAATGGGTCCAGGCTAACATCATTAGATCCTGCATAACCATGACAACAAGTTGAGTCCTGTGTATAGTTTCTTTAATCAGAAGTGCATTCATAAAAATCATAATGCATTTTCAACAGCTTATCACAGAGTTCTAGTAATCATCAGGCCATTAGATTCTGGTGACATGAATGACAAATCAAATCACTAACACTGAACAAAGGTAAAATAAAATCCTCAAAATAGTTATCACAGATTGATTGCAGCAAGCTTATTTTTTGCAAGATAAAATTAATATCAAATAAACAAGTCTTCCTCAGTTCATTGATGGATGGAGAGATGCCTGGATATTTTCCACAAGCTTGGACGTTTGGTTTTCTGCAATGAGATAAAATATTAGTTAAGACAATGATAAAAGTGCAAATAATGATATCCGATGGAATGTGCTGTATCCATGTTGATTTCAACATAAATAAGAACTTTCTACCATACTGATGTCATCAGGACACTCATGTACAGTGGTGTAATGATTGGTCAAACTATCCATGCATTGCAGTTGTTCAAGGCCTGTTTACAATAGATCAGTGACAAGGTAAACTAGGAACGTGTGCAGGAACTTGCAAAAACAAAAGAAGCCCCTTCACTACCTCTGGTGGGACTTTGGCTTGAAGCTGCTGTAGGCCAAGTACAGGCTGAACCAGACCTACCTCTGGCGGGACTTTAGCTTGAAGCTGCTGTAGGCTGAGTAGAGGCTGAACCAGACCTACCTCTGGTGGGACTTTAGCTTGAAGCTGCTGGGGGCCAAGTACAGGCTGAACCAGACCTACCTCTGGTGGGACTTTAGCTTGAAGCTGCTGTAGGCTGAGTAGAGGCTGAACCAGACCTACCTCTGGTGGGACTTTAGCTTAAAGCTGCTGTAGGCCGAGTAGAGGCTGAACCAGACCTACCTCTGGTGGGACTTTAGCTTGAAGCTGCTGTAGGCCGAGTAGAGGCTGAACCAGACCTACCTCTGGTGGGGACTTTAGCTTAAAGCTGCTGTAGGCCGAGCAGAGGCTGAACCAGACCTACCTCTGGTGGGACTTTAGCTTGAAGCTGCTGTAGGCCAAGTACAGGCTGAACCAGACCTACCTCTGGTGGGGACTTTAGCTTGAAGCTGCTGTAGGCCGAGTAGAGGCTGAACCAGACCTACCTCTGGTGGGACTTTAGCTTGAAGCTGCTGTAGGCTGAGTAGAGGCATGACAGACGGTCGACCATGTGCACACTGGAACGGAAGGTCACACTGCGACAGCGACTCCAGGAGTTCTCTACACTGGGACAAAGTCAAGCTGTCTCCAAACTTGATAGCCCCTAGAACAGTATTTGAGAACAAATTTACAACTTCTGTAATAACATTGATTGAAAATATTTAAATAGATATCTCTGCCATGAGGAAAAAGAACAGAGTTATGCAAAACATATTTTCCAAACCTAGATGACTTGGAGAATACTAGGCACAGGAAGTTTTCAGAAGCCAGACATTTATCTCACAATCAAAAGTTCAATCATTATGTACGACCAACAGTGTTCTTACCATGACAGGCCTGAGAGCACAGCACCTTGTGAATGGCTTGTGGCAGTCGACTCCGAGCTCCTCTCATCATCTTCAGCACCTTCCAAGGAGAAGCATGAGTGAGTTAATGTTGTTCAAGCTGTTGTCAGCAACATTCAAGTCAAATCATAGCAGCCTGTAAATACTTGAGTCTGGACAAGCCAAAGCCTGTGACTGATAGCATGAGCAATGATCAAAACCGTAACACAGTATCAGCCAGACAGCCACCTGATCCTCCTCTTAGTGTATCCCCTTGGTGAAACCCATGCACATGGATATGGTGCTGATAAACCCAGGAGTTTAGTTTGTGCAAATGTGAACCCACCATCGGCATATCCTGGCACAACTAAGGGAAGCAACATACCCCAAAAATATATATAGTTCTCTGAACACATCACTGGAAATTGTCAAAAGTACAATCCTACAACGGAACAATTAATTACAATCAGCAAAATTACGGAACAATAACAAAACATGTTCATACCTCCAGATGGTCTTTGATAAGGCTCTGGAATAGGAAAAGGAGACAGTGTACAAATATTTATCAGATACATTTTGTAGGTCTTTACATACATTTTGTGGATTGTCCCAAAACTAAATTTCTAAATTACATTTATGACTTTCTGTGAATTCAAACTACTAAAAATGACATGAAACGGAAACTATAAAAGTAAAGATGGTGCCAACTTGATGGTACTATGGCTATCAGAGAGTTGTCTCCCTTTTCCTATGTGCACAAACAAAACCTGTTGCTAAAATAGCTCTATGTTATTCGACACAAGAATAGGCTTCACACATTATAACTATTTACAGAGTTGAACCTTGGTCTCCAGCATGACAAGAACATGCTTTAACCACAAGGCTAATACAAATCAGTATTTGATATGTAAAGACTATATCTAAAACATAAAGGGACCTAACATACTTTAGAACACAGTGTACAAGGATAATATATATGGGTGAAACTTCATGTATTTAATCGAAAAAGAAATCTTCAAATTTGGAGCAAACTAACCTCTACAATGTCCATGACAACCGATTCTCTCCCTCTGCGAACTTCATTTGCCTCTCTCTCAACCAGACATGCAGGGATGGAGTGGATGTTGAGCGAATCCCGGGACGAGCCGTTGATGGTAAAAGTTACACCTGGAAAATACAGTTAGATAAAACGTTCATTGATGCAACAAATGACATTACAATTTCACCACTCTGATTCTGGTCAGGTGTTAATAGTCTTACTTGTGTACAGTTCAACCCCACACTCAAGAATAGCCCAGGTATATGATTTTTGTTTGTATGTTGTTTAACGCAGCACTCAGCAATATTCCAGCTGTATGATGGCTGTCTGTAAATAATTGAGTCTGGACCACACGACCCAGTGATTGACATCACGAGGATGGATCCATGCAATTGGGACACGATGACATGCATCAACCAAGTCAGCGAGGCTGCCAGGTATATGATGGCTGCCTGTTAATAATTGAGTCTGGACCACACGACCCAGTGATTGACATCACGAGGATGGATCCATGCAATTGGGACACGATGACATGCATCAACCAAGTCAGCGAGGCTGCCAGGGATATGATGGCTGCCTGTTAATAATTGAGTCAGACAACCAGTGATCGATATTATGATCATCTTTGTTGTTATCCCATGCCATTGGAATGATGACACACAATCTACTAAGTCACAGAGCCCAACCACCCAATCCAATCAATGCCTCATACAACAGTGAGTGAGTTGGGTTTAACGCCGCTTTTAACATTATACAGTTATATCACGGCGTGTCAGCTTAATGAGGGAGGAAAGCCCGAAGTGATGCAGGTCTCACACGTTTACCACTTTGGTGAAACCCACGAGCACAGGTATGGTGCTGACAAACCTAGACACGTACATCATTGGGCGAACCGGGATTCGAACCCACAATCAAAGGTTTCTGGCGTGTCCAACTCTGAACAGCGAATCACGGCGCCTTAGACAACTGGGCCACCCGTGCCCCACCTCATACAACAAGAACAGGTTGCTGAAAATGTCTTCTACCCTAGAATCCCAACAGGTAAAACAAATGTGAAATTCAATTAGGGAATAGTTAAGATCAGTCTGTTTTGTTCCGTCGTACTGCATGTTCTATTTCAAATATTCGGCATAGTTTCCCTGAGTTACTTCTAGATACTTCTTGGTAGCAAATAACAGATCCGTGCAAGAATGTACCTATCCTCTTGAATTCATCCCTGAAAGATTTGATCAGACGAACATTCTCCTCTGTGAAGGTCAAGGTCCTAGGAGGCGACACCTGGCTGGGTTTGATTGAGCAGTCAGTCACGTCAGCACTGTTCACATAGATATCTGCAAAATGTCTCATGTATTACTATGAGGTGCACCAACACTGTTACAAAATAGCTTCATTTCTTTAATAAGATATTCACTGGAACCTTGGTGGTCCAGACTATTACCATTAGGAATGGCAAAAACTATACAAAAATACAAAAATATTCCATACCTTTTTTTTTGTTTATCTGTATGATTTCGTTGGAAACCGTCCAGATTAACAAGGTTTCAATGTACATTATTTAGTAACACACAATTCTATAGACAAGCTGTCTTCAATAAAATCATACATGGTCCATTTGGATGATTAGTTTTTATCTGATAACCACATTTGTTGGTTGATATCTGATGATAACAAAGTGTATTGGTAAAACATTCCTCCCACTGGCAGATGTTCAAAGGGAGGTAACTCCTGCCTCACCTTCTGTCAGCTGTTCAAGACGTACTCTCTCATGAGCTGCATGTTGGTCGAACAACACGATCAGATCTGGAGCTGAAATCAATTGCAAAAAATAACCTTAGACACTGATACACACATCTGGATGACAATTAATCAGAAGCTAATGTGAATTACTTTCTATATATTCCAATTACAGCACACACTTAAAGCATATTAGGCCCGCCTCCGTGGTCTAGCATTCGCCCGTGGTACTTGTTGTTACCCTGTCTGGCACTCAGCATTAATGGGCTAAAACAAGGACTGGTTGGATTGGATTGAATGGGGTATTCATGTTTAACTGCAGCATGGTATCTCAATGGGCTTGCACTATAAATCGGCATCAATCCGAACTAGTACAAGCAGCCACACACACAGGTGGATGCTCGTCGCCATATAAGTGCAATCTTGAACACGACATTAAACCCCATTTCACCTCACCTCAAGCATACTAACCATCTATGGTGTGTTATGCGTGAAGTGAGAGTGAGTATTGTTTTACGCGGCTTTAAACAATATTTAAGTAATATCATGGCGGGGGACACCAGAGATGGGCTTCACACAATGTTACGCTGTTGGGAATCGAACCCTGGTCTTCGGCAGGACGAGCGAACACTTCAACCACTACGCTACCCCACCACCCCATATCAACAGGAAACACATGACACAAGACAAACCTTTTGAAGTATTCTGTTCTTCAGTCTTGAGGACACAGGCAATGAACTTGTTGTCGACTTGACCCAGGACCTGAAACACATCAGAGTAAACTAACGTCATGAAAATGTCTGGGTTTTTTTAAAAATAAACTAGAATGTGTTTTTACTCCTAAAAACAGATGTCTCCCCTCTCCTTTTTTATTGGTTACATGAGTTCAAATTGTTACTCAAGGCTGTTTCACACAGGGAGCTTTAGTGGAGGGAAAGCTGTAGATCCCTTGCCTTGGGAAGGCGGTAATTGACAAGCACGGCTTGGGAGGGCTGTAGATTCCAGCCATGTAGTTGCAACACTCATGCTGGCGTTTATTTATATTGAACGACAAGTTCACTTTCTCAACTTTAAAGCATGTTAACTATCTTATAGCCAGTATATATAAGAATATGTGTATATTTCATATAAATCTAAAATGTTTTTGTATGAGTGTTAATGGAAGGAAACTGACCATATACCACAGATGAGTTTTGACAGTAGAGTTAGTTTCAGGTGTTGTGTTATATTTGTTCTTACCATAATGTCAAACAGGTTATCCGGGGCATTCTACTTTATCTATGAAACAATAATTTTGTGACCTCCACCAAGGAATCTCCTACATCCAATATCTGCTAAATCCTGTTTTTACTGTGGGGGACACTTCATACACAATTATATCTTTCATGGATAACAACTATAGCATGTGTACAGAGCTCCAGATAACTTTTTGAGTAATTGAGTTTTTTACTCTTAGGTTTCTATTTTAATTGGGTTATTACATTTTTCAATGGGGAAACAATATTTTTTCACTCATCTATTCATCACTCTATTGGATATTTCCCAAAATAAGTGAACATTTTAAGATTTAAAAAAATGAAATAATGTTTTAGATGAATATAACTGTTCTAAATATATAGGCTTGACTTGGAAAGTAAATTCGCTCGTATTTGTGTTTGGGAAACTAGCTCCTTTGTATGCATGCTGAAAAAGCTTCATTGGGTATTTACACAAGCTATTTTTATACATTTGAGTTTTTCATTTAATGCATGCGTTTCTGTACGCAAGTTCATTGAAAGGAATTGGGTCGTGAACATTTGGGTGTGGGGTGGTGGTGTGGGTGTGTGTGTGTGTGTGGTGTGTGTGTGTGTGTGTGTGTGTGTGTGTGTGTGTGTGTGTGTGTGTATTTTACGCAAATACGCTGCTTGTCTGTAGCTCTGGAGCAGTACTGTACCTGGAAGCTCTTCAGCATGGTCTTGGTGAACTTGGTAGGGTAGAGAGACTTGAAGGACCTAGTTCCTGCTCTACTCATATGAGCCACCTCAGCTGTTAAACACGACTGTAACACAAACGGTGACTGTTACGTTTGTTTATTGTGTAGCATGTTTAACAATGTGCCTAGCGATATTCCAGCTGTATGATTGCAATCGATATTATGAGCAACGACCCAACCCGTCGGCTACGATGACACAATCAACAATGTCACCGAGTCTTACCACCTGATCCATTATATTGCCTCTTATGACCAGGGCCCTATTCCACAACGCGATCTTAGCGCTATGATGATCGTAACTCCCATACTTTAACATTGGCTTACGACACTCGTAGCACTACGACTGCTTTGTGGAAAGGGGCCCAGGTGGCTAGAGACCTATTCTAACCCGGAATCCTAACAAGGCACACACAATGAATCACTGAATATAGGCCTAATTATTCTCTGTACTTATAATCTCCTGACAGTCATGCTGACAGCGTTAGAAATAGGCACCAGTCCCGTAGTCCTTGCCAAACTGCCCAATAGGTAAAGTATCACAATGACTTGCATAGATTTACCATCTTTTAGGGTTTTGCTATATGTTATCATTATAAGGACTAGTGGTAGAAAAATGTTAGTTTCTACCGCTGGTTGACATGTGGTGCAAGGTCATGTACAAGCCATTTTGGACACTTAAACCCACCAACACCTGCAGTAATTAAGGTGGCATGAAAACGACTATCATACCATGATACGATATAATACTGTTAATCAATAACACTTGTGTAAATGAAACATTGCCACAGCACTTGACTTTCAGTGAGCGTGGTAAAGGGAGCTAAAAGTCTGTACATTTACTAAACAATGCCAAAAACCCATAAACTTGCGTACTTCTTCTTCAGACATGTCAGATGATGGCAAGTGGTGTTACAAACACTTCATACTATAAACGTGACAATAAGTGAGTCAGTGTGTGTCTCAATAACTAAACTTTTGTGTAATTTACCCATCCTAACATACACATAGTTATGCAGGGATGTGGGCAGGATGGGCATGGCTAATATTCTGAAGAACAAGTCACACTTTATGGCCCCTGTACACAATTGAAGAGTACAAGGTTGTCTCACCTGCTGTGGAACTTCCATCACAGGGTTATTCCAGGAAGAAAACAGATCTTCCAGTGAATGCTGCTCATCTGAAAGAAAAACAATTTACATGAACAAACACTTGATACATAATAAGGCATGACAGGAGTTCATGTCAGGTGAACTTTCACTGACCAATCAAATTGAAGGGTGAGTGGGTTCTTGACCCAATCAGATGTCAGCTGTCTAAACTGATTTGGCTTCATTTCCATACCACCTCTATTTCTGAATTTCTGTCTAAAGAAAAGACATTCAGCATCAGGACAAATGAGATATTCATATGACCCTGTTGGTTCGCGAGATATTTAGTGTTCTTTACAACACCAGCTTGCCCTAACAGCAAGTAGAAGACTCTTACTCAAGCCTTGTGACCATACCTTGTCTGGCAGTAACAGAGGGACGTCAAGTCTTCTAACATGACTAACACCAAAACTACACTGCTGATATGACAGCTCAGGTTTAATCTTGTTGAGTGAGTGAGTGAGTGAGTTGTATTAACGCCGCTTTTAACAGTATTCCAGTTATATCACGGCGTGTCAGCTTAATGTGGGAGGAAAGCCCGAAGTGATGCAGGTCTCAGACGTTAACCACTTCGGTGAAACCCAAGAGCACGGGTATGGTGCTGACAAACCTAGAAACATAATTTGGGCGAACTGGGATTCGAACCCACAATCAAAGGTTTCTGGCGTGGCCAAGGGACGCAACTCTGCACAGCGAATCGCGGCGCCTTAGACGACTGGGCCACCCGTGCCCCCTAATCTTGTTGAGGAATATGTTACTGTCTTACCTTGTTGAGCCTTGTCCTTTCCAGTTGATGGGGGTTTTCGCCACTTGACCTGATCATCACTGGTTTCTGCCACCAGATGGCAGTCCAACAAGTTCTGCAGTTTCTGTTTGCCAGATGGAGACAGGGGTACGGGGTCATCTCTCACAATCAAGGTTCCTGTTCCTGGAAATGAAAAAAATTGTATATATGTAATAACAGAGGATTCAAGTCTTAAATGGCATTTAGAAGTGATACACATAAGGAAGTGAATATGTGGATGTCAACTTCCTTATTATGAGGAACACAACGTTTCGGAGTATTAACTTTTATACTAATAATACAGCAGTTTACAGAGATTTCCAGAAGTTTTCATAATACAGACATCCATAAATTCTCTTGCTTATTAGAGGACTGACTGATGGAGTGTGTCATTAAGTCTGATGGCTTTCTTGGCATTAATGGGTGTACAAACCAGGGGTCCGGAAAATTTAAAATCCCAATCGGACATTTGCATTTAGGCCACGCCCCCATCAAATAGCGTATTTTAGTACGACTTTTCACACACATTACAAGTTTACGTATTCATAATATGATGAATTATGAATTGTTTCAATTTAAATTGTTTAATTCACCGGACAATTAATAACAAATAATATCATTTTATATTTACATGGAAAACATACGTTTGTTTCTGTTATAATAACGATCTATTAACGTAGTGAACGGTCTAATTAATTTTCATGAGTTATATTCATGAGTCTGCTCAAGTGTACGCGTTGTAACATTTGGATCGAGACTATTATCCCATATTTGGTTATCACGTGACCTCACGGGAAAAGTTTTTTTTTAAACTAAAGATTTTTTTAAAAACAAGACAGATAATTTAATCACAAATACTAAAATATCGTTGATAGCAATAGTTATTTGAATACTTTTTTCATCTGTACTTAATTATTGACCATAAAAAAATTGGATATCGATCGTCCGAGAAAGCAAAATGGCGGTCAATCAAGATTCAATATACGACTAGCTACTGAAAAAAATAAAATCTGCAAATCCTCATTGTATGACAACCAAGTGAAAGCCGTTAGCCACGACTTACAAAATGATCGTCCAGACTTTGAGGGTTTGGCAGATCCGCTCGACTGATCTGCATCGGTCGACTGGCTGTCGTCACGCTTTCGCTTCTTGTCTGAGGTTACGTATCGTAGCAGTGTGAGGATAATGAGGTACATCGATAATGCAAGGTATTAATGTACAGTTGTAAACACCTTTCACTCAAATTAACAAGATTTTCTCAGTAATTAATCCTCAATTAATCAGTGTCAACTCAGTTTATTGCCTATTACAGTGATTGACCGATTGGACTATCATGCAGGTACGATGTATTTACAGCAATCAAAACAAACAAAGCTTGTCAGTGTAGTTAATCTTCATTGTGTTGCAACTGCAGACAGAAACTGCTCAGTCCTAACTGTTGATCATGTCCGGTCAAAATTTAAGAATGTCCGGACAATACTTTTTAAAATGTCCGGTAAGCAATATTTTAAAACGGACATTTGAGATTCCCAATCGGACATGTCCGGCGCATATGACGGTTTCCGGACCCCTGGTACAAACCCATGCACAGAGCTACAGAAGCTCACCTTAAACCTATTCAGTAAGTGAGTAAGGTTTTACGCCGCTTTTAGCAATATTCCATCACTATCATGGCAGGGGACACCAGAAATGGGCTTCACACATTGTACCATGTGGGGAATATAACCTGGGTCTTTGGCATGATGAACAAATGCTTTAACCACAAGGCTACCCGACCGCCCCTAAACCTATTCAGTGACATAAAACTGGAGTGGTAAGAATGTGCTATTTGTGTTACAACCATAGTACCTAACACTTGGAAATGATGCTGTGAGTATTCACTGATAGTTTTCAATTTATCTGAACATATTGTGAGACTATTTGATGTTTTGGCCATTAGAACATGTTACAAACTGGCAAAGTCAGTATGATTATTACCCTTGTGACTATCTGCTTTTCTTTGCTTCAATACACCAGTAATACTTCTGTATCATTTACATAATTAACATAGATATTTGAATAAATCCAAAGTAGAGTATTAACTAAAGCAACAGCACTTAGGAAGGGTATGTTCATACAAAGCAGAAATAATTCCAGCATTTATATGAATGTTATCATGCACCTTGGGAAACTTATAATCAGTACTGCTTAACTGCAGCCTCCAAGCATACCAAAAATCATAATTTGAATGCCAACATATGACAGTTCTCATAAGTGAAGTAAGACACATGTTCTTACATTTCAGCATTAAAAACTATGCAGAATACTCATCACATAATATTCTGTCAGGTGAGTTTATCCGTTAGATGATGTGTCTTTCCATCAGTAGGTTTCACTCCACTGCAATAATTGCATGATGTGGTGTCATCAGGCATAGTGATCAAGCCATCAAATGACTAATCACAAGCTGTTGTACGAATGCCAAGCAGCATAGATCTGTAGATACAGTTTGTGTCTACAATATCATTGTGCATGGTCTATGCTAGATAAATCTGTTCACTGTGACAAATTAATTCCTACACCTGGTGATAGTTGTCACATCTGCTGAGCCAGCTGTAGCCAGTCTTGTCCACTAGTAAATGACACCACAATAAACATGATAAGTCCATGGCTGTTAACATTATCGTCTTCATCTATTCACACCCTGAATTCTCCATGTTTGCTCTAACTATTCGCTCAAGCATGTAGGATTACAAAATCAGGGTGAATTCAGAAAACATTGTTCAGATTCGCTGAAGCATTTATTGAGGAGTATGAGACATAGACTGGCAAGCCTCCAGAGTATCAAATATCAAATGGTTGGCTGCAAACAATAAACAGTGTGTGTGCTGTAACTGATATGAAAATTGCTATGGAGCTGCCAAGATTCCGCCACGTGTCTGCCCACCCAATATATTAACACACCGTCATCAGCCTGACATGGTATCAATGGTATAATATTGCTGACCTTAAAATTGGAGATCATGTGCATCAACAACTCTATTTACAAATATTATATGCTCATATCATGCACATACAATCTTTAGTGCACATATCAATATCAAATGAAATATTCATTCGAGAGTACAGATTACAGCTTATAAATAGCTCAGTAAGCATGGTTAGGGGACCAGTCATTACCCATAATAGAAGAAGTCCTGACATCTTTATCCATACACGTCGTATGTGTACTTCATAACTGTTAAGTTTGATACACTACTGTATGTAGTTTTGTGGTTCTGACTCTCCATATCATGTATATTATGTATAAATGTTTGGCAATGTTTCTAATTCCTTCCCTACAGCATATTCCCATAAAAATGAAACAGCACATTTTTTATAATTTTTATTTCTGTTAGAATATAATCAGATCAAGTTTTTACAGCAAAATGATCATCTTATTTTGCTGATGACCCTTCCCAGAAATGTTTATGTTTTCTCAGACCCAGTTACATGCACTATTCAATTTCTCCACCCTCTGCTGTCTTTACCCCATCCTCGTACAAGTCAGATAATGACTGGTCCCTAAAAGGGGAATACCCTTACCGCTGCCTGCCATCTTTGCATCTCCCGCTCGATAAAGGGAAGATATAATCATCTGAATGGGCATAAAGCACTCCACACGGAAGCTAAATGTATCTAAAAGTAGGGTACATTACAAACGGAAAGGTGTGGGGCGTCCATCACACTCACTCTGTGTTTGTGTGAGTCTAACTAGACCCCAGACAGATAGTCCCTTGCAAGATGCCAAGTCATCGAAGTCTCATGTCTATGGTTCAAATGGCTCTTTTCCAAGCACGGAAAATATAACACTTGCTCCACAATTACCAAAGGATCGTAAGTGGCACGTTCAATTTATTTGCTCAGTGAGTGATTTGCATGTTGTGGAATATGCAACCAAATACCTATCTCATAGTGGTTACAGTTGTGTGGAGCTTGATAGCTATGCTCTAGCAGGGAAAACAGAGCTCGAACTTATTGATGAATTTACATCAAAGTCCTTATGGAATATTGTCATTGCATCTAGGAGCATGATTGAAGACAATCTGGGACTCCAGATAGATTTAGCTGTTGATCTTGCGAGACATCTTGGCAGGAGAAATGTCATTGTTATTCACACTGAGGATAACATGGATGATGCTATCCCAGCTATACTTCTCCCATTCAAGAAAGTAAAGAGGCATAAAAGGGACTGGCTGGCTCATCTTGCCTCCATCTTAAGAATTCCTCCCGAAGCATTCCTGCAGGCAGAGGAGAGTCTCGGAGGTGAGAACCACTTTGATGTTGAGCATGACAGAAAGAGAATACTGAGAATTGAGGACAATCGTTCCTATTCAGATGATCACCTGCGTGCTAAGCGTCTACAACTCCTCCAGAAAACACCTTTTAATGGAGACAGAGCTGGAGCTCAACTTCAGAGTGAAATGAGAAAACGTATCAAGTATCCCATGAAAAAGGAGATAACCATGGCAACAGGAGGTCTTACCCCTTCACACAGTTAAAAGTAAAGCACCCATAAAACATGGTTATACACACCTTGACCTGACCATGGCAGCAGCTAGTGGAGAAGAAATATACCAAGGTCAACCTAAGGTTGTAATGATTTGACGATGCTCTGCTGCACAGCACACTTTGCTAGTTACATCATGTACATGATACAATAGTTTTTCAGTCTATTTTTGTATTAGCATGATTAGTGATATCAAGGACATCCATGAGACTTTGATGACAATTGTTATTTAATTCTTTCATATTTTTATTAACACCCACCTAGAATCAGTACAGAGATAGTAACCTAGTTGGAGCAACCCAAATATGTATTTGGGCATTATTCGAGCATCTTTTATTCTGAGTGTATGGGTTTGTCTGAGTAGACTGGTATGCATTGTAAAAACTGCTCCTACCCATGCTTACCATGCCAACTTGACCAGAAGAAGTGTTATTAGACTCGGGCTGTAACTCGTGGCTACTGGCTAAAGTCACACTGGTATCCTACCTGACAAAGTATTGTGATTCACTTACAGTGTGATGCATAAAGCAAATCCCAGCATACTGACAAACAGCACTATCATCATGATTCAACAAATACAGGACATTCCATCTGGATTTTGGGACAAGTCCTTGTTGATGTGTCTACTGTGTATGTATGTTACTGTACATGGTGTAGTTACAAATATGCTAAGGAAAAATCAAAAGAATAGACATGTTGTAGTGTATATGAACTCTTGTGTAAACTAGTCTTCCAACATGTCTTCTACCTCCTTCAATGCTTGTCATCATTGTGATATTCCAGTTGTCCAAAAATGTACCGAGAGTTTATTACTGAAGTCATAAAACATGTTCATGATGTACAATGACCGTAAAAATTAAGGCAATACTCTTAACGAAAATATGTTTACGAAATTCAACTCTCATAAACGAAAAGTTAAATATACTATCTGAAAACAGCAGTTTTTTTGTTTTCTGACAACTTAAAACTGAACTGTTCACCATAAACATAATACAGGACAGGGTGAACATAATACCACACAGTGTGAACCTAAGATTACACTTTTGTGTTTTACTTGCTTTACAGTTGCGACAACTGTTAAAAATGGGGAGGAAATAACATTCTGAAATTGTCTCTCTTTTATATGGAACCGGTAAACTGATCATGCTGATAGGGTATTGCACCAGTGTTTGAAATATACAAAATTACCAGGCTGCCATCAGGACCCACTGGTTTTAGAAGCTGCAGGCCCTGACTAAACTCTTCAGGCCCTCATTAAAACAATTGCAGCTAACTGTGACAAATAAATTGACAAGTAATTTTACTGCAGGCCTTGTTGACTCATAAAATATATTCTAAACAAGGACCCACTATAAATAATTTTGACATTAATAAACAAACAAACAAGATTTTTGTGTAGAAACACAAAGAAGCTCAACAGGTATTTTCCTGTAAAAAATCTGCAAAGCATTTAAAAGGAAAGGTGTGGCCTAATCAGCTGCAGAACTGAACAGACTGGCTTCCAAAACGCTGCATAAATGGCTAAATATACTCTTTTTTAAAATCTGAAATGGGTTTTTTAATAATGTTTTTTGCTTATTTTGTTCCCACCTACTTGTCTACCCACCTACTTGCCTACCAACCAGGATCTTTCACAAAACAGTCTTTAAACCAGAACCACAAAATGTCTGACCAAAGTACATCAATGTATCAAGTCTGTGTCAAACTAATGATGGGCTGTGACCATGGTAACAATGGCAGTATCAGTCACACATATCCCAAAGGATACTTTTTTTTATTGTTCCTTCTTTTGGGCTTCAACTGCATGATTCATAAAAGATGTGATAAAGCTGTTACATAGATACTCCCCATCACCATCCCCCACATCACTACTTACTGCTGATTATGTGTGGTTGATATGGAATCAACAGTATCTTGTGTGCATGGTTACCGACATATATCTTTGGCCAAATTAGTGAGTGGGTTCGGTCTGATGCTGCTTTGATGGGTATTTAGGCAATGTCATGGCAGGTCATAGATGATAAAACTTTAATGACAAACCAAGGATGATAATCAGAGGGAATCTTTCTTGGAGTGGGATTTTTACGACCGCTACAGCATACTGGCAAGGCTAAGGAACACAACTCCTGTCAGCATTGTTGTGCTATCATAGTTTCAGGGTTCATTCTAGAATAGGGGCGGTCGGGTAGCCTAGTGGTTAAAGTGTTCGCTCGTCACGCCGAAGACGCCGTGATATTGCTGGAATATTGCTAAAAGCGGCGTAAAACCATACTCACTCACTCACTCATTCTAGAAATGTTTTGACAGGGGCCCTTTATGTGAAAATTTCAAATATTCCAAAGGTACGCCCATTCAGCACAATGTTAAAATGCCCCACTGTATTTGAAAATATGGATCTTTTTTTTAAATTTAGGGGCTAAAAGCACAAGGCCCCACCCTAGAATTAGAACTAGCCCTGTATTTTGCCCTCTAGTCGTAGAGAATTAGTCATTGTCATCATCATCTCTCTCTGTGTCTCTGTCTCTGTCTCGCTCTGTGTCTCTCTCTCTCTCTATTATACCTAACTAGCAAGTCTAAGGAACGCAACTCCTGCCAGCATTGTTGTGCTATCATAGTTTGCACTCTAGTCGTTGAGAATTAGTCATTGTCATCATCATCTCTCTCTGTGTCTCTCTCTGTCTCTGTCTGTGTGTGTGTCTGTGTGTGTGTCTCTCTCTCTGTGTCTCTCTCTCTGTGTCTCTCTCTCTCTCTATAATACATAACTAGCAAGTCTAAGGAACGCAACTCCTGCCAGCATTGTTGTGCTATCATAGTTTGCACTCTAGTCGTTGAGAATTAGTCGTTGAGAATTAGTCATTGTCATCATCATCTCTCTCTGTGTCTCTCTCTCTGTGTCTCTCTCTCTCTCTATTATACCTAACTAGCAAGTCTAAGGAACGCAGCTCCTGCCAGCATTGTTGTGCTATCATAGTTTGCACCCAAATCAAATTTGATATAATAAAATAAGACGGTAAATTAACCATGTTTATAGCTGAAATCCTTTGAAATTATATTATTTGAGATGAAGCAAATCTTTATGTATGCATGATAACATTGCTGACAGTGACAGTCTGGAAAAGGGAGGTTTCCACATTAACAGGGTGAGGACTAAACCTGCTGAAGAGGTTTCACTGTATTAGAAATGATTTAATTTTTTGTTCATATATTAGGAAGAAAACAATGCATGAAATGCATACTGACATCATGTTGTGTTTATGGCACCTATGCATTATTCATAATCTATCATGTCCATGATATCTGAGTATTACTTGTTTTTTATGCTTTACTTGTAATTGTATTCATTTGGTGAGAGAGGTGTTTTTGAACCCACCCAGTCATGTTATTGAAGTTGCTTTATCCATGTTAATGCAAATTAATACTATTGCATTGGTAGTACACAGTAGTATACAAATCAGATTATATATGAAAATTGTACAGCTTGAACTGTTTATCTATATACCGTATTCCATGTAATAAGCCGCCCGCTCTGATAAGCGCCACTGCGATAGTTGCTAATATATTGGTTAGTGAACAATCCCAATTAGCACCCCTTCCGATTGATCAATGTACACAAGACTTATTTATTCGTGCATAATACACACTCGTGGGTTATATGCACCCTTAATTATGGGCCATTTAATTCTGGATTTCCGATTCTTCAACTGTTTTTTTCACCAAAATAATATTCTAATAAGAGCCCCCAATTTCTAAATTTGAGAGCACCCTGCTGATTTTCATCCCTTGTTCACCCAATACAAACATTGATGGATTTCACTTGCAATATTACTCATATGAGTAGAATTATCATGTGTAATAACATTCCGATATTTGCATATGTGCATTTTAGCGATTCTTTATGCTGATTGCTCAATTGGAGCCATCACAGTGATTCATTGAGAAAATTTGATATGACATCATACATTATTCATGACATCACAAATGGATCTGAACAATAGGCTTCCTTCAGTAAAGTTTCTCTGTAGGGTTGACATTTTGTACGTGTTCCTGCATTTTCTCTTTTAAAATGTCACTGAGTAATATAAAGAACGACTTACTCGAAACTCGGAACGACAGATTTTTTGTCCCTTGTGAATGAATGCCCCCGCCTTACTAACATCATTCATTCACTCGGGACAGATAATACGTAAGTCCATGTAGTTTGTTGGTTGTCATGGTTATTCTCTAATTATCAGCCAAGTCAAAACCAATGGTAAATAGTGGTCAGTCATGGGCGGATACAGCTTTTTTGAAAAGGGGGGTTGCACAATTAAGATCTATTTATTGTCTTTGGTGGTAATTTATACAGAAATAAAGGTTTTTTTCGAAATAAAAACGGGGGGTGCGCACCCCCGCAACCCCCCTCTGTATCCGCCCATGTCAGTATCTGAATGAAGCAATAAACATGACAACATCAACATCATCATCATCATCATGATGCACCCAGCCGCTATTCAATAAGGGGGTGTCACGACACGCCTTGTTCAGATATCAATACATATCACGAGAAATGATCATGATACAACATGTATACTTAATTTGTGCTGTTTATCAATGTTTATGCAAGAAATACTCAAGATTTCAGGTTTCATGTGGCCCAGCAAACAAGAGGTTGCTGTTAACCAGTTTGTGTCTAACTCACAGTTATGCAATCCGATGTCACGTCTTGTTTCATGACAGGCGGTAAGAAACACCAACAGGAGTAGTTATGAAGACGAGTTATTGGGGAAATGATCAATATTTCTTTTTGGAAATCAATACAGAACCAAACCATGAATTGATACATCAGTAGGCATATCATGTATCGTACTGTGCGGTGTAAATTAGTGAATTGTGACACCCCTTTTAGTCAATCAGCATAATAATTTATCAATTATTAATTATTTTTTATGGCATTTCAGTTTACCACCTGTTACCACAACCAGCACAATCTGGTCAATTATTTGTGATTTCTGTCTGATGAAGTCAGTTCTGGGAGTTGGTAATTTATGGTATTGTTTTTGCATTTCATCAATGTTTCCTGTAAATCTTCATGAGCATGATATTAATGCAAGAAACATGAGTGTCCTTTGCTCACAGAACAAAGTGACATGTTTTGAAGTCCTTATATACTACTCAAAAGAAGTTAAAGAACACTCCTTTCTTTCATAGCCTGGCATGTCAAATATATATGCTAGAATTATGAAAGGATAGGGTCTTCTTTAACTTCTTTTGAGTAGTATATAAGTATATACAGGAAAAGCCTGCACATAGGCACGCATGCATGCAACCACGCATCACAATTGCACATTAATTTAATGACTTATGTTACTTCATGGTAACTAAAACAGTTTTTCACATGAAGTATTAATAAACTGAGTGCTGCTTTATCAGAAGTTACAACTTGAACATTAATATATGTCAAACAACCTGCTACAATTTCTACATTTGTAGTTTATAGCTAAAAGATGAAAATATGGTTGCATTTTTCTTTGTGTAACACAAGAAAGTGCTCGGTCAACCTGGTCAATGTTGCTTGTTCTGACCAGCTGGTAATCATAATTTGAGAAATAAAAGATTGTGATACCACATGTTGCAATGTTACTTGTTTCCTTTATTTATGGAGACTGGCTCTGTGGTCAAGTTGATCGAGAGTCAGCCCCTTAGAGGTGATTTGATCCCTAGCTGCATCATACCAAGAGACATTAAAAGAAGGTACTTGTAGTTACTCTGGTTGGTGCTCGACATTAAGCAGTGTTAAAAATTGGCACTAGGTCTGTAGTCCTTGCCAAACTGTCAAAAGTTAACGTACCATACGGACTAGTAGAAATTTGCCATTTTTTTTAGGGTTTTGCTTTATGTTATCATCATAAGGACCAGTGGACTAAAAATGTTAATTTCTACCACTGATCAAGGGTATAAAACAACGACTGGGTATCCATCTTACCGGGACCGCACATTTAAAAGCCCCTCGTTATTTAACCCATTGGCTTAAAAATGAAAAAAATAATACCATTTTAAGCACATTGGCTTAAATTTAATTGAACAAGAGTAAAATATCATAAATTCTAAAAATCCCTTAATAGCGAAAGGCAACAGTTGACAACCTGATCTTTGTGTGTCCAAAGTTTTATGAAAAAATACTTATTAGTTTCAGAGATATGGTCTGGACAAACACACCACTATGAACAGAGTCAAAGTCAAACTTGTTGCCATGGAAACAGGAAAAAATAAATTTTATTAAAATTTTATTATAATTCCAAAATAGCAAAAGGCACCAATAGCACATTTCTATACATGCTATATGGCCAATTTGCACCAACATTGCACCTTAAGGGCTGTTAGAGGTTTCCACATTAACAAAAAAACCTAATGCTGGTGATATTCTGGATACAGAGAGTGAGAATATAAATGCATATGACAGACACGCATAACTGCTATATTCTTTTGTTGTTACTTTTTGTAGCTGTCGTGCCAATTTTGAGAGAGAGAGAGAGAGAGAGAGAGAGAGAGAGAGAGAGATTAGGACAATGAATAAGAGTCATCAGGAGATGACATATCCCCCTGTTCTGGAGTTTGGCAACTTGTACCCCATTTTGGCTCATTGCCATTGAATATGTTCAGTTCAGTGAAGCAAAAAATACGCTGTTCAGTATTTTTCAACAACCCAAATCATCAAAATGCACCAGTTCACCACTAGAGTGATCTGTTTCATCTACATATATTCAACAGTTTTGGAGTTCGGTTCAGGAATGGAACACTGCCCTCATTTTCAGTAAAGTCCAACTTGTCATCTTGAAAAAAAATAAAAATATGTTTCAACAAGAAATATTGTTGAGCGGTTTAGGAGTTCTGTTGAGTTCTGTTGCGGAAACAAAAATGGACGGACAGACAGACGGACATGCTGATCGCTATATCATGTTTTGAAACAACAAATTTACCATCTATTATAAACATAACCATGATTACACATGCTGATCATTGAGCACATAGAGTGCGACACATATGACATGCTTGACTGCATTACCATGTCACACCCTGACATCAGGTCACCCCACAACTATACATATTTCAATACAATTCATGCATGAAAAAACACATTCCATGAAAAAAGCTCAGTTCCTGTATGCCAGTACTACTGCCAGTACCACCACACAACATGTAATAAAAGAAATATCAGTACCAAGGCTTGGAGAGTTCAATGTCATTTCAAACAAAATTAATGGCGTATACATGATGTGTTGCTTAAAATAACTCTAAATCAATACATCAGCTGTTCGCCACCATAAGCTGGCCGGCGTCCTGACACCAGTCAGACATATTGGCCAAGGCCATTCTTTTACCGGGCAAAAGTTTTGAGGGATGAAATGAATTAGAGATTCCTGCACTATTTCAAGGCAAGCACGGAACATGTAGAAAACATGAAAAGGCAAGATTTGTTCAGAAGCTGACATTAACAAAGCTTGACTAGATAACACATGCCCGGATAACAGACTCACGTAATTGAAAACCAACAAGGCGTGTAATATATTCAAAGATGCCTTTCATGCAGCTACCCTACGGGAAGGACTACCATGTCCACTTCATCTGTGAGGACAAAGATCTGGACTACATCCAGCCAGCAGTAAACCACCTACGCCATCAAGGGTATCAGTGTATTGATTTGTCAGAAGCTCCACATGGTGGCAAAACGGATGTCTACTACTTTGATCGATTCACAAGCAAGTCCATGTGGAATGTGCTTGTTGTGTCGTCAGTGACTACGGACAAGCTAATGTTTCAGCAGCATGTGGCCATCGACACTGCACGGTGGAACAGAACAGCAAATATTGTTGTTTTACACAGTCAGAAAAATTTGGAAAACTTCCTGTCACCATTACTTTGTTCATTTCAACAAGTATTCCATGATGAAAACTGGATTTCTAATCTCACAAGCGTCATTTCTAAAAGTCCAGCTCATTTCAAGCATCTTGAGAAAAGGTGTTTCGATGAGAGACACAAGGGAATTGTCGATTATCTGAATGTAAATCACGGTGAAGGTTTGGACCGGTTGTGGAAATCAGATGAAATTGAACGTGTCAGGCGTTTTGAAAAAAAGCGTCGCCCAATTTTAACGTCTATTCAGATCTTGTATCAAAAGAGGAAAAGTATCAAGTGGCCAAGACTATAGGAATGTTCCAACATGGTGGTGTATCCCTGGCTTGTGGTGCTTACAATAGTAACCATTGTAACATCCCAATACCATCATACATTTCTTCAGAGTATTTTCCTCCAGAGTATGAAGCTGGATTTGATCACAAAATCATCACCTGTATTGTTTGAGTGAGACATTTGGCCTTTTGAACCGTGTGAGCACAAGTAAGAGTGAACAGTTACCACTGGACCATTCATTTGTAAACTGAATTATAATACCTGGGATCAGGATTTTGAAGAAGTAAATATTCTTTGAGATGAGCCAAGCTAATGTGCTGGAATCCTCTCTGGAGCCATTAGTGATATTTTGGAGCTTCTAATTACATGGCAAATTCTGGGAAAACCTTAACTGACATTAATCATGTTCAAGTGAAACAATTCGTGGTATTACTCCACGCCAGCATGGTCAGGTTTACCACCAATGTACCATGCATGTATTCCGGGGCAGTAAACGTCACCAGTACCTAGTACTTGTCAGGGTGACTAAAATGAGTGATCCAGATCAAACATTGTTGTGTAACAACCCTGCACATCAAACATGTCAGTAGCATATGTTTGAGTTGACATGTAATACAAAGGGTTAGAAATTAATTTATATTTTCACTTGTCCGCAAAAATGATTTGCTACAGACTTGCCATCTACATGATAGTAAAAGGTGTAGTCCAAAAGGAAATGTCACTCATCCTTCCTGAATGTTGCTAGTCTGAATTCATTTTTCATGCATAGAACATGTAGAAAGTTGCAATATCCATGAATGGTACAGTGTTTTGAGAAAACATATGTAAATATATTTTATTCTTAAAATGTCTTGTTTATTTGTAAGCACTATGTGCCATTCATGCTCAAAAAAGACCAAAATACTTAAAAAGAATATTACCGAAGAAGATGTCTACACACAGACGAATTCAAGGACAGCATTCTGCAAAAGCAGCGGAATCACAATTTGTTGAATGATGACAACAGTCTTCAGCTATGACATTTTTGCAAGTGTGACGTCATTCCAACCTCACGTCACAATTAAATTCGAATGACGTAAACAATGCCGTCTGGATGACGAAAACGATACACTGTTGTCTCTTGACGTCATCATGGTGATATGACCATATTTAAGATACATATGGTTTTTATTAATCTCGATATGTTTGCCTTCGCAGGTAAGAAAAGGCCTTATGGGTTGGGGAAGGTTGTTGCTTCTGAATTGTAGAGATGATCCAAAACCTGCGATACCAGTATTTATCATTGTTTATTTATGCAAATATGATATTTCACAATTTTCATCTATATCATCATGATCATTCATATCATATTTCTATTATGTATATTTCAATATTAATTATTTATTAATAAATTAAGTTTTGTTGTTTACTTTGCATGTTATTAGATATCATTTATCATCATAGTGTCTTTGCTGGCTTTACTGACTTATTTTATTGGTCTGTGGATGTGATAATACTTTATATAACCATGATTACAGGGTTCATTATGTTAATAGTTATTTTGCTATTGACTGGTTTCGACCCATTTTAATCAAAAGAAGAAAGTTACTTTTAAATAATTCTGAGAAACATAAACATGATAAACAGTGATAAAGATACTGCATTTTTCACAACACAGTGTGTACCAAGAAGAATAGAATAGAATATTTAACAGTGGTTGTCAAAATAAAATATATATCTCATCTGCTGACATGCTTATAATCTGTACGGCTTATTGTTGAGTTTCGGCACCCTATATACCATGATATAGCTTGTTGTAACCAAGTCTGCTCACATGAATGCAAACTAGCTTGTAGTTGCAGTGTAATGCTTAGTCATCACTGTGCCAGATGTGTGATGTAACATGTAAGAGGTGAATAACTTGGGATACTGCTGATTGTGGAGGAAAAAAAAGTTCAAACATTGTCACTGACAGTTAAGGGGAGATAACTTGGTGCAAGAGTTCTCTGCAGTCAGTTAACAGCTGTTTGAGAACAGTGCATCGTTGTGATGTCAAGCCTGGACAACATGGACAAGGCAATCAAAAGGGTTTCCACTAGTTTTCTACAGTTGTACACCAACCATGCTAACACTAAGCATAGGAGTGACTTCAACCAAAATAAATAAGATAAGGTTGTCATAAAAAACATTGGAATTGAAAACCTCAGTTCATCAAAAACAGGAAGAGAATGAAGTAAAATAAAACAGCTCATTCTTATCTGATTTACTGTCTTGTTCTTGTCATTGAGTCTCAGGAAACTTAACTGGTGCACATGGCATATGAAGTCGAGTATGAAAGCTGTGATGACTGTTATCACTGATCTTGGATTGTTTGTTTGTTGTTTTATGCCGCACTCAGCAATATTCCAGCTATATGACGGCGGTCTGTAAATAATAGACTGGACCAGACAATACAGTGATTGACATCATGAGCATCGATCCACGTAATTGGGATACGATGACATGCATCAATCAAGTCAGCGAGCCTGACCACCCGATCCCATTAGTAGCCTCATATGACAAGCATAGTCGCTTTTTACGGCAAGCATGGGTTGCTGAAGACCTATTCTGGCCCAAATCTTCACGGGTCCACTGATCTTGGAGCATTTATCACCTTCCAATCATAAAGTATAAGAGTGAGTGAGGAGGGTTTAACGCCGCTTTTAACACGTTTAACATTATGCCATTATGTCAGCTTAATGTGGTAGGAAAGCTTGAAGTGATCCAGGTCTTAGACGTTTACCCCTTTGGTGAAACACATGAGCATCGGTATGGAGCTGACAAACCAAGAAACATAATCAGGGTGAACTGGGATTTGAACCCATATTCATAGGTTACTGGCGTTCCCAAGGGACGCAACTCTGCACAGCGCATGGCGGCACCTTAGACGACTGGGTCACCCGTGTCCTCGTAAAGTATAATACAAAGAGCAGAAGACATGATATATGGATGTTCTCTACCACAGACAGACCGGCTGGCTAGCCAGTGGAAGTAGGTTAACAATATCTGATGCGTCAGTGAGCACAATTCCTTTAAACCTGGTTAATATTAAAGGTGACAGAAACCACAAGCACTGATACACAATCCAAATCTTGTAAACATGGTTCTTCCTGATGCAACTTGACCACATTCCCAAGTACAAGCAGAACATACTTTTTATATATTAAGGAACTAATAGTTTGGAAAATTGGAAAGCCCATGAAGAGGTGAGGTGAGGTGAAATTGGGTTTAACGTCGCAAACAATTAGCAGTTATTAGTCACTTGGCCTCCTGACAATGTTGACATAATACTTTTGAGATGTACTAGTGAACACAATATCTCACCTTCATCAATATCGCCATCACTTTCGTATCCACACTGTTTCCACTGGTCCTCGAACATTGTGTTCCCGGTAAGACTATTCACATAGATCTTCTTACCTGACAAGTGAAAGTAGCAGGTAAGGGTGCACGGTATTACCAGTTGTTCGGTAAATTGAGGTTCATTCTTGCTGTCATGCATATCACAATTCCATTCTTTAATGCTTGGTACATCGGTTGATTTCGAATAGAGATTATTATGTTACATGCTTGACAAATATCTTCGAATTGTTTCCGCAGAGACCATTTACTGGTATATGGTCTCTGGTTTCTGTAATTCCAAAATACAAGTGTGCGAAGATAAAGGTTAATTTTCAGCATTCGTACACTTCCGTCTTCACTAACTGGGGCCCCTAGATAGCAGCGTGGTGAGTTGTTCAAACGTAAAAGGCAAAGCCAAAGTGTGAAACAATTCAGTCTTCGGATGACAAAATGAATGAACCAAATATTGCAGTTTGTCGCAAAAGCGCTGCTGAATTTAAAATTTAGAATCATACAATATATTGTGATACATATCACAAAACGGCCTTGAACATATAGTAGTATGTATTAGTGGTGTAACGATACGGCGATACAGTATTGTATCCCGATGCACAGCCCACGATACGATGCATCGATTTGGAAAGCATGTATCGCGATACATACGATATTTACATAACACAGTTTTACTTACAGTATTTTCTTGAGTTTAGTCGCACTTTTTTTCCAAAAAACACAGCTGTGTAGAAGGGGGTGCGCATTATACACGAATTAATGAGTTTTGAGTTTTTCCCTCATGGAAAGACATTACCGTGAGCACGTAACACCGGAAATACCATGTCAACAAATCCATACTTAAGTTCGCAAATTATTCATGTAATTACACTGTCTGGCTATAAAAAGTGTTCTTTGTATATCTGGACTTATGTTTGTAACTTATTTCATTAATTTTATTCAAAATTCCTTTTAATATTGTTTTAATTAATTTCGGAGAAATCGTGTGTGAAGCGATCGGGAGATCGCACAACTCACCGTTATTAACAGCAACCACGGTCAGATTACCGCTATTGACGCCTTGAAAAGAACTTTAGTTGACAGAGAATGGATACATATATCATAAATTCCATACTTTGATTCGTTAAAAGTCATATTTGTTTTTGTTGGACGATTCTATGTCAACACGTAATTCTCGCGATCACGTGCACGGGAGCATCGACGGTGACTGGTCAGACTGGTTCCATGTAAAAAATAATACCCGGCAATAGCGATCAGCTGCTTCGCTTTGGGTTATTATTATTTTAAATATGTTTAACAAAAGCTGCATCTAAATTAACAAGATATTGGAATATATTATTCCCGATAAAAAAATAGTTATAGATACAACTTTTGCCGATCCTTGCATTAAAATCCTGTAAAGTTATATCATTGGGTGTGTCTTGACCGAATCATCGGTAGATTCCAAGAAAACGTGTGTACAGCTAATTGCTGTGTCCGGCTTAGTTTACGAGAAAATACACAAGGTAATCTTAATCCCTGGATATAAAACAATGCCTAGCTGAATAAAAAATACAATTTAAACGGTACATCAACATGTCTGGTGATTTTTTATCTCAAATTTTGAATTTGTACTGACGAAGTTACTCATCACCCGTTTGTTTGCCGGACTTCGCTGAAGGGGTACGGTGTAATTTTTTTCTGCGCATAATATTCAAATTTCTTTTTTCGCAAAATATTGAACCCGCTAGAGGGATGTGCGCATTATACATGGGTGCGCACTATACTTTTAAACATGAAATACGTTTAACCGTTTCAAAGCCAGTTTCTTGTTTCAGTAAAGCATACTGTATTGCTGACAATTTGCTATAACAGTAAACACCTTATATCTTCTTCAACTGTACTTGTCACATCTTTTAGAGAGCAGAAAGACATCAACTTGGATAAGCAGCTTGTACCAGTAAACACTGTATCGCGATACGTATCGTATCGCTACCCCTGTATCGCGATACGTATCGTATCGCGACCCTCCCGTATCGTTACACCTCTAGTATGTATACTGGATGACGTTTCACATTATGGGATGGGGTTTTCTGACAGTCACATCTTCATGATAATGATGATCATGTGATAACATAAGCAATGGCCTACTCACTTTTTTTGCTTTGGAGCAGAATTCACATTACCATGATCACTGATGATAACTATGACAAAAGCAATATCTTTTACTTTTACCTGTCTTAGGTCAAGTTTCACAAGTATAGCAGGTGAACAATAAGTTGTGCCATGCATAGTCAACAAAGTGAGTGAGTCAGTGAGTTTGGCTTTACGCCGCTTTTAGCAATATTCCAGCAATATCACGGCAGGGGACACCAGAAATGGGCTTCACACATTGTACCCATGTCAGGATTCGAACCCGGTCTTCGGCGTGACAAGCGAACGCTTTAACCACTAAGCTACCCGCCCGCCCCTAGTCAACAAAGGTCAAACCTAGTACTATCATGATAATTACAGATTAAACAGTAGCATGCTGTAGTGATAACATGAGAAATAAGCCTGATATGGACTTATGACCACAATTAAAAAATAATTTCAACATTTTACCTGTCTTGGGATCTTTCATATTGGACCATGTTGGTTTTCGCACTGTCTGGATGTGCATCCCGGAAGAGCTACATGATGGCTGATCATCGGTATCTCCAGACATGGAACAACTAGATCCAAGGTCCCTACTTCCAATGGTCACATCAGACACTGGTCCACAACTGGAATCACAGTTTTGTTCCCTATCACACTGACTTGACGAACAAGCCCCTTCATGAATGCCACCCAGAGTTATCTCCCTTGACTCCACAAAATCATCTGACATTTCATTATCAAACTCCTTTGCAAGACTTTTGTCTATTTCATTCAAATTGTTCAAGATGTCTTCCCCAGGAGTCACATCAATATTTGAATTATTCACATTTGACTGGCTTTGTTGACAGGGGCTTTTTGGCTTTTTGTCTGGCCCAACAGTTTCATTGACATCATCACTATAAGCTCTGCCGTAAATCTGAATTTCATTATCCTGCGAGTCCCCAAGCAGTAACTTTCTTAATGGGAAAGAATCATCTGTATTGGTTAACTGGGTTGAATCTGCTTGAAGGGGGCTGCGCTGACCACATGTTAAGGAGTTAAAATCTGGACAATCCTCAAATGTAGAATGCGGCAGGGAGAGCGAAGGTGACTCTGTTGCAAAATCGTCTTCCTTCTTCCTATAGAGATATGATGGCTTTGTACTAGTGATTGTACATGTACCAGCAAGAGTCAATTCACTTTCAGAATCTCCACTTTTCTTCTCCTTATTCCAGCATGAAGTACCAAACGGAAGGACAAGAGAAAGGGATGAATCAGGCAAGTCTGGGTCAGTAACTTCATCCTCTTCTTCACCAGTTACAGAACCATCATCCGTCAAACCAGACAGCATTTCATGCACATTTTCCGTTTTGTCAGATGGGCTAGAGGGTGATCCTGTCATGGGTGTAATTCTATCAACATTGGGTGAGAATCCCCCACTTTGACAGTCCTCATCATTTGCTTTCACATCTAGTGTAAAGCCTTGTGAAGACAGACCAGTTGGCTGAAAGCTCTGCGTGCAATACGACGGAGGGGATCCACCTTCCTGATCAGACACCTCAGGTGAACAAATGTCCACATGTGGCAGAATGACCGAGTCTACACTCTCTGTCTCTGATACATCTAAATAGTCTGGCATAGCACTGTCGTCAACTCGGTCACACACTCTGTCGGAGTAGGACGTGAATGGCAGTAATGTCCTACCAGCTCTCCCTCTCTCGCATGCTACATTCTGGTGTAAATCAGAACTCTCAAATGATTTTTCACCACTTGATGTGACAAGGTTACTTCCGTTAGCATCAACATCAGCATGAAATGTTGGAAGATCCAACTGTTCAGGAATTGCTGTATCAACCAGGGCTTCGACTTTGTTTTCAGTTTTGTCTGAGATGATGTTCTCACTGTTTTTGAAAACCGATGCAGGTGTTTCAACGAAAGATGAAGATGACAGGAACTCTTTATTGCTGGAGGTTTTCACACTAGAATCATCAACACAGCTCCTTTTGGCTAACTTTGATAGCTTTGCTGAAGTTGATAACGCAAAAGGATTAAATCTTTTCCTGGCTGAATACTCTGACCTGGATGTGAGATATTCGATATCAGCAACAGTGGGCACTACTGGGTTCCTTTCATTAACAAACTGTTCTGCAGCTGACTTTGACACTGATGGTAGTGGTTTGTGTTGAATGGCAGATGTTGATAGCACTGGTTTGTCTTGAGGGGCAGAAATTGATAACTCTGATGATGATGAACGTACATCAGTTACAAATGCATGTTTATCAGCTATCTGTTCTGCATAATAAAGGGCAGGACAGGTTTCATGTGAAGGCAAGATGATTGTCCTGTGGGACTTTCTAAGCTGAGTGAAGCTGCTAGGAACATTATCATGACATACTTTAGTCATAGCAGATATTGCTGATACAATGCTAGTTTCAGGTCCTCCTGTTTCTCCAGAACCTTCCCCAACAGAAGGTTCTGAAGGCTTTGATGCTTGATCACTCAAAGCTCCAGTTGTATTCTTAAACTTTTGTAACTTGGCACTGATGATTTTCTTTCCTGCAGCAGACTTTGCATTTAGAACAAGTCTTTCACTGATCTTCTGAGCTGCAGATTTCTGAGCATGTCCTTCATCAGACCTGGTTTCATGGACCCTACTGAGAGAAGGAATTCCAAGTCTCTTGCACATCTTCTCAGCAGCTGATGACTTGGATTTCGGTGAGATGAAACGAAGGTTCTGAAGCTTGTGTATTCCAGAAGTGGAAGCACTAGGAGGGGAGTCTGGGAGACATATAAGAGCTTTCCTGTGGGTTTCTACATTAGACCAGCCTAACACTTGATCTTGAACAGAGGTCTTAGACTTCATCTTTGTCAGCGAGGCTCTTAAAGTACTGGGTAATGGATCTTCACTGTCATCCCATGGATTTGAGGCTGTGGTGTTCTCAGGCAAGGACTCAGGTAGCTGCATTGATTCCTCAAAAATGTCTTCGTCCTCTGCTTCATTCCCATCAACACATTGGCTTCCTGTGACTGTCCCGGTCAGCAAATCGACGGGTTTAGTCTCGGGTTTAGCATCATAGATTGACTCAGAAGAATGCAGAGTTAATTTTTTTTCAGGTGGCTTCTGAAGTTTTCCAGGAACTGGTATTTGAGCTGGTGTTTGAGCAGATTTTTCTGTACAAATGTCATTTTTGTCAGAGGTATCCCTGTCACTACTGTTTTGAGCATGTAACAGAGGAGTCCCCGTTATCACATTGACTTCAGTTACTAATTCTAAAGTATTTTCAGAATTCAAGTCACCATCCTTTTGGTTTTTCAAACTCTCCTCTTGAAAAAACTGATTCTTTCGAATTGCCATAACATCCCGATGTCTCCTCACTCTCTTAGAGAAGAGGCAGTTAGATGTATTGAGTGTAGAAATATTCTCTGTGTAGTCTTTAACTGTGGCTTCAGGATCTGATGCATCAGTGGTTTGATTTATCCCTAACTCTGTTTCTTGGGGATCTGCACCTCCCTGCTGTGCCCTGTCCCTGCTGTCTGGGACCTTCAGAGCCTCAGTTTGACAGCTCTCATCTGGTAATGTGACGGGAGAAACTACAGACAGGTCCGACACGGAAACCAGATTCTCTTTCTTCAGGAACTCCATAACCATTCCGTCTATACCATCGGTCAAAACTGTCCAATCTTTGAACTCTACTAATGTCTTTGCTGGGTCAAAGGTGATATCATATGCATCAAGTGGACACTTCACATTGATAACAAACATGGCATACTTATCTCCTTGTTTCAGTGGACTTGAAGTCTGGGGACCAGCTGTTTGTGTTGTACCCGAACTGTCCTCATTGTTGGATCCTTTTCTCTTTAATACAAGAGACCTTCGTAATACATGGTTCAAAATTTTGTGTACTTTCGTCTTCAGAACCAATCTACCGTTCACATAGACAAACTGCAGGCTCTTACTGCTGTGACCTTCTTTCCCAATAAACCCTTCCACATCAAAACAGTCCTTCTGGAGTGATACCTCTCTCAAACATTTCGACTTCCCAGTACCAAACAGATGCATGAAGGCTTTCAGCATGCTGCTACTTTTCTGTGTCTGTAAAAGTATGTTCCCGGTAATATCATTTCTGAGACTGAAGCTTACAGATGGGTGGATCAAAGCTATTCCTTCGACTCTGTAGCGAATCCTCTCCAGTTCCAAAGCTTCATTCATGTTTTTCTTCCTCACCGGGAGACTATAGAACAAGTCATGGGCTGTCACGGTGGTACCAATGGACGGTCGAGGAATAACAGACTCTGACACAGCCTGTGCAACGCCTTTCTGGAACATCTTACAGTACGTCTGATGGGACCTACTGGTCCGACTGTTGATCTCCAGTACAGCGGCTGTGTCTCGGATGCTTGCAATAGCCTCACCTCGGTAGCCAAAATACTGAAGGTTGTTCAAGTCTTCAAGCTCATGACACTTGCTGGTGGAGTACCTAAAATGAATAAGGCCACATTAACTAAGTATTAGATATGCATTACTTCTGGACTTTGATTTCAACTAATGTCTCACATACTTATCTCAAACTTGCCAAAATATTTCTGATGAAATAGATGTCCTTGTCAACATTGTTCCTGATTATTGCCGTAATCATTTTATAAAATCTAAATTAAGGCTGCATTTTATCATTGGTTATTTTTGCCTCTTGAGTATATGTAAAATCCCATATACGTTGGCAGGAACGCCAGATATCTGGATCATGATGATGTCATAAAGTTTGATGAGTCATCATTTAATTATGGCACAATTGACTTTCCCAAAAAATACAAATCTTTGCAAATGGTAATGACAAATTTCACAAGCCGAAAATGTTTGTACAACTTTTGGTTAAGGTGTAAAAGACTATATATGGTCAAAGTGTCAGTAGAAACCAAAAAATAATCCATCAAACCGTACCTTTCACCAACTTTCTCCAGCTGGTCTCTGCTAATGCCTTGACCATTGTCCACTGCCTGTATCTTGAAGCATGGTAGGTCCACCCTGACTGCTATGCATGAGGCACCAGCATCTAAAGCATTCATGACAAGCTCCTCTACACATTGTGTGAGGCTTGTAATGGCTACACCAGAACGCAGATGGGACTGTACCTCATCAGACAGCTGACGGATCATCTCAGTGAGTCAAGAGTGTCAAATTGGCATGTCATTGCCCTTTGAAGTCAGACCAACATCTTCCTGGGTTCTATACTGAAAGAAATACCACACAAACCTGAAATTAATTATTGTAAGACCTACATGCGAATGTGTCTTTTAGTGTTGCCTTTTTTCATTGATTTAGCAAAAATGTGGCTCAAACTTTAATGAAGAGGTTGAAAATGTGTCTTTAATAATCTTTCAATTTCTAAATTTGTAAATTTTACATTAAATAGTATATTTATATACTTTTCCTTTCTCACACTAAACAAAGTTTTCAGCTTATGAAAACATTTCACACAAACACATCCCAGCATAACCATGGTCACCATCTAACAAATGGGTCACGTACTACAACCCTGTGCATGTGACTGAGCACGACCTGATCACCTGACTGCCCCTGCCACAGCATTCTCTTTCTTAGAAAATTAATGACAGGCTAGAGGAGCTGTCATTCCAGGATGGTCGGGTGGGCATATAACGTATGAGATAGGATAAGTATATAAATACGATTTATTGTTAAATTTACAAAGTTTTAAACTTTTCCTATCTCACACTTTGAATTTATCCCACTGGACGGTGGGGCACATATACCCTAGCCTAAGTGGACTACAACCATGAGACGTACACGAGGAAGCTGGTGCTAAACAGGGATACACACAATAAGCTATAACACTGTCAAATGTAGTAAAGTGTGGATGATATATAATCCTTGATGGTACTTGGTACAATGAGGCCTTATAATAGATTCTGCGAAACCTGTCCTGGGCCACAATGAATTATTAAAGTTTCAAAACCCAAGGCAGATCAAGTGTTATTTGTTATTTAGTTCAACACACCTGTGTACATGGGTGTTGCAGGCTAAAACTGGACTTCGCAAAACGGCACAGGTTTCATCATGTTCATGGTAATGGCTATTGAAGGTCAAGCGAAAATATTAATAAAAACAATTAAATGATTAATGTGGTCGTGTTTATGCTTTATTCATCTTCAAAGATGTAGGGCCAAACTTCTAGATGTTCTCTACTGCCTGTTCCTTACCTAAATCTCCACTGTAACAATACAGCTAAATCACAATAACTCGCAGCTCTACTTGTAACAACACTATCAATTATTACCATCTTATAAATTACCAAGTATAATTACACCATTTAGTTATAATATTAATAACAATATTTTCCTCCAACAGCATAACAGATGCTGGACTTGTCATTGTCTTATTTCCCATGCTGCAGCACCAGAAGGTTTCGGCATCTCAAGTTTTGTATAAGGTTTTTCAAAGGTACTTAAACTTCAAAGTCTGTGATGTTTTCACAATAGGTCTAGTGGTGACTCCCAATCACATCTGTGAGTAAACTGGAGTAGAGACTAATTTCTAAAGGAAACTAATGTAATGTATAAGCCGATTAACATTTCACAATTACTTGTGTTTGCATGTGAACCTGTGAGTATAATTTCATTTATTGCTTGCTCTTAAACCCAAAAGGAAAAAATTAAAGCGCCGTTTTCACCTCATAATAGAAGCTCTTTTGGCTTTGGGCAAAGTTTCGCCAATTGGTGACGTTTTCACTCGAACATTTGGTTGACCGATGACATTACACTCAAATGATGGGATTCATATATTGCATGTAGCATGTTGTTAGTAGGACTATGTAGAACTATATGTTGTATTTCATCAAGTAAGGAAGCAAGGCAAGACAAAAAGCAACATACTTTGTCTGTTGGCACACTGTAGAAAAAATAAAGATCTGAGGTTGTGTGTTTGATAATGAGGCAGGCAAGTATGAAAGTCTGATTATCCTTGCATACTGTGTTTAAAAACCCCTAAGAAGTATTTCTCATGATGTGTCTAATAACAATCGCGGTACACTAAAATTAAGTCTTACCTTTATTTCTGTTAACAATTTCATAGTCAAATGACCATATCTTGTCAATTTAATTGTCATCGGATTTCGAGGCCCTACAGGAGTCAAGTTAAAATAGATGCACAACATGATCTGTCACATGACATTACAGACAGGAAGTTTACAAACAGCAGCTGATATACAATCGGTGCATACGATTGTCCTGATGCAAAATTATCATGAGATCAACTTTGATTAAAATGTGCATTAGTGAAAAAGTAAGTCTTGAGGTATGTTTTAATTGCTTATTGAATATCTTAACTCCTGTAGCTTAATTCGTAACATAACTTCAGCAACAAGTGGTGAACACTTTGATGTGTTCAGTGAGCTTTGAAATGTGTTCAGTGAGCTTTGAAGCCTCTACCTTGATACGAATTGTTTAGGGGCTCGAAAAGAGGTGAGGCTCGAAAACATGTAATGATGTTAATTGTTATGAATCCGATGGCTTCATTCGGGTGCAGGCTAAAACGGCACCTTAGCAAAACGTCACCGATTTCTCTGGTGAAAACGGCACCGCATTTGGCGAAAACGGCTACTATGTGTCGGGCGAAAACGGCACCTCTATTTTTAATAATGATAAGAATGATTTTTGTGGTAATATATATGGTTTATTTACATGGTCACAGTTATCACAGCATGTTGTTGTTTTCTGACATTCTTCTCTCATGCAACACATCGAAAGGCCATTGTGAATAATTGTGATCTGACAGCACCATGTTAGGCCTCTCAAATACAGTTTCAGTTTAAATTGAGTAAAGGTACTTAACACTTCAAAGCATATAGTGTTTTCACATTAAGTTAACTGCGCCTCCCAATCAGTCGGCGAGTAAATTGGAATAGGGGTCTTATTTCTTACTTGTTTTATTTCACAATTTCACAATTATTTGTGTTTGTATAGACGACGTGAGTTTAATTTCTATTATTTTTCTTCAAAACAAACATGTAATGTTTTCACAATAAGTTGTGTTGTGTATAAGCTAAGTTGGATTATAATTGGAGTAGAGGCTTATTTCTAATGTAAACTTGTTTTATCATCTCACAATTATATTTGTGTTTGCAAGTTACAATATAAGTTTAATAGCACTTTTTTGACCAAGGTAAAACAAAAATAAGGTGCCGTTTTCGCCAGGCAATAGTAGCCGTTTTCGCCAGGCAATAGTAGCCGTTTTCGCTTGAGTCGAGGTGCCGTTTTCGCCAATCGGTGCCGTTTTGCTGAAGTGCCGTTTTCGCTATAACCCCTTCATTCAAAGGTTCCAGATGTTGACAATTTGCATTAAAACACATATTTATCGGCAATTGGTTTGGCAGCTACAAAAGACATTGATTGAATGTCTCGTGATGAAAAAATTCAAACTATCACACAATAAACATGACATGGTTGAACTAACTTTTGGATTCAGCGAATCAATCAACTGAAACGTGTGAAAAGAAACTCTTACCCAAACTAAATTGGTTGCATACGCACCACTGGCACTGAATGCCACATTCTTTTCTTACGAAGTCTTACACACAACTAACATAGTAAAGGAGGGTGGGGAATATCAAAGGACTGAAGTAGAAGCGCAAAACAAGAGTTGCAGTCAAACAAGTCTTGTCGAAATGACGATCGGTTGTGTCAGTAAACAAACTGCCCTTTTTCTGTATGAGTATGAAAACCGGAAAATGATTTCGACAAAGCGTAAAATGTACCTTAGGTTCGTTACATGTTCACAGAACGTAATTCCATAAAGGAAATATGAGAGTGACACATTGCCTCGAGTTTGAGCAAACCGGATGTTTATGTGTTTGCGTTGTAAATCTCGTGTTTGGCAGTCTCGCGGGATGTTGTTTTATCTAAAACTCGGATTCGTCCAGCCGGAATTGAGGATTTTACCCGCAATCATATGGTAAATGGCGATACACTAAGACCACCTGGTCAGCAGAAGTAAGATGTTTGGTTATGTATTTGGCTCATTTGCAGCCTGTAAGCACGGGAAGCTTTGCACTTAATACATAAAAATTGTTAAGATGTAATATAAGTATTCCTTGGTAGCCTCAAACTAGGGCTGGGACGGTTTACTCGGGTACCCGGATCGGGTAGGTACTGAGTAGGACCCGGGTACCCGCAGGACTACGTGGTTAGTCACGTGATATATTGTTTGATGACAAAAAAAATTTAGAACTCTATTTTTACACTACAAGTCACTAATGTTCGCATTTCTTTCCGACTATGCACCCATTCTTTCCGATTTTTCATATGGTTGAATAAAGATACAAGAAAACATTGATGCAGAGCATCAAAGTTCCCCGCCATATGTGATGCCTCACAAACGCATAATTATGATGTTACTGAAAGGCATGAAGGAGCATAATTATGTTAACCACAACGCTGTTGTGGAAAAAAATATTATTTATTTTGAGTATTGGGCAATACAGTTGATACATTTGTATAGGGTAGGTCTATTTAAAATTAGTTTCTGGTTTAACGCCGCACTCAGCAGTATTCCAGCCATATGACGGCGTGAGTCTGGACCAGATAATCCAGTGATTGACACCAAGAGCATCGAACTACGCAATTGGAATATGATGTTATGCATCGACCAAATCGGCGAGCCTGACTACCCAATCCTGTTCGTCGCCTCTTACGGCAAGCATGGGTTGCTGAAGACCTATTCTAACCTGGGTCTTTATTTAAAAAAGTAGATCGAAGGAAATGGAAGCAATTTCTGGCACAAATGTAAACATGTGGAAATAGTATCAAAACTGCCAACAACATTGGCAGATGAACCTACTCAAATAATAGATCACATTCTTTTTACACTTGGCATTTGTTTATAATAATGTAAATGAAAATACTAAGGGCTCCATATGGCAAAAAAGTCATACTAGTTAAGGTCTTTTTGTCACAACCACAGATGCACATACTCAAAATATTATCACGTAGTTGGAGAACATTTCAATACCGGGACTAATCAATAACGGAGATTCCTCGTCTCTTGTTTTACGTTTTTTGGTCAGTTTCTTTTTTGTATTTCTTTCAAAGTATAGTAATTGTAATCATGATGAGTTGAGTTACTTGGTCTTTTTCTATGTACTGTTTTTTTATCCAGTGTCCGTAACTGATGTGGAATGTGGTTTACTTGTAACAATTACTGGTTTGAGTTCATATGATGATGATTGATTAGGTTGTCGTTTTACGCCGCACTCAGCAATATTCCAGCTATATAACGGCGTTCTGTAAATAATCGAGTCTGGACCTGACAATCCAGTGATTAATATCATGAGCATCGATCCACGCAATTGGGATCGATGCCATGCATCAACCAAAGCCTGACCACCCGATCCCATTGGTCGCCTCTTACGAGAAGCATAGTCGCCTGATATACTGTTAAGATGTAACATAACAATTCATCCATACTACTAAACAGAAGTAAAACTGCTTGTCCATTCGGATCAGTCTGACCCAAACCATTCCGCTGATGAGAGTCAAATAATGCATACGAATCAAAATCCGTAAAAATTGCAATAAAGACATCATTATAAGTTACCAAAAGTGACTGGGATATCAATATTGCTTGTTGAAATGATTCTATAAAATTTGTTTTCCCTGCTTCAATATTTGGAGCACATGTGACGGGGCCATAAAACTGATTAAGACCTAAATACCCCTCATAGCCTTCGGTGTTAACACAAAATATATGATAGCGACCAGAGCTACGGCTGTACATTGAATTCCATTAAACGAATAAAAAATACTTCAGCCTTGATGCAAATTCGCCGACAGACTACTCCGATTTTGCTTTGACTTTGCTACCAAACGTTTCACATGTGGCTATGTGCGGTGCACTGATTAACGCCGCACACGGGGGACTGGGTTAATTCAAAATACGGAATATAACTATTCCAAATATTTCCAGTGAACATGAGCATCCAAGCAATCAAAAGTGTGGTATGTAGAATGTGGAATTCAGCCATATTACATTTAAATTGAAATGTCGTCGTTGTTCACGAATAAGCATATTCAGAATATATTTTATATTATGCTGTTATTTACGATCTCCGGAGCACAGTTCTTCTTTTGTATGCGCCGTGAAAATCAGAAAATTAGTCCTTGAGGAAAAAAGGACATCGGATTACACATGAATGGTTTAACAATGTCAGCTAATGACCAGAAACGGTCAGATGCATCAATTAACTACATAAAGACGATTTTGAAGTATCTCTTATTGCTTGAAAAGAATAGCATCAACATTCCACGCACATGATTTGTATGTTTTGTTTCCGTAAATGCGTGGCTTGAAATTTCAAATAAACCAACATGTCGACATACATGCCACAAAATTAACGTTTCCCGTATATATGGGGAAGTATAACTTATTTCAACTTCAGTGTTTTAATGACCAGATTGTTTAATCCATGTATCTAAATATGTTCTGTCAGGGCTATTCTGAAAATGTTCCCAATCGGACATTTTGAGACATCTCCTGAGACCTACAGTGGGTACTCGGGTACGGTCGGGTACGGTCGGGTAATAGGGGGGTGGGTACAGGGGTAGTAAATTTGGACTCCCTTTCAGCGAACCCCTTGCGTGCCATAGCGTTAATTCACAGCAAAAAAAATGCAGTTTCCGGTATCCGGATACCTGCCGGATACCACCGGACACTTACCCAAAACGCGTCCGGGTATCCGGTGGCAGATACCTTGCCGGATACCAGATCCGTGGTATCCGGCATGGACACCTCACCTGAAAGTATGCCACCTGGAATCCGGGTATCCGGCACCGGATACCTCACCGGATACCTCAATCTGGGTGTCCAAGGATCCGCACCGGATACCAAGAATCCGGCACCGGATACCTCATTCTGAGTTTCCAAAAACATGTCACAATTTGGGGGTGCATTTTGTTCAATTAAGTGTGAAACACCTAAATATATATTGGAAACTAACCATGAAAATTGAACATTGCTGAAGGTATCCGGATGCAATTTTTCGAGATGTCTTATTTCTGGTAAATAATGTTAGCCTGGGCATATCAGATAGCTGTAGTAATATTCTGTGTCATTTTAGTTGTAAATATCCCCTTAAAGTTGAGATCTATGGGCATGTACTTTTGGAGAAGACAATTTTTTTCAATTTCATCTATAATTCTTTTTAGATGTTAAGCTGTTTAATGAACAAACATCAGTTCTAATACATGTATGATGATATCCTTAAATTTCATGTTCAGACTTCCAGATTATTCTGAGTGAAAGTATAAACTCTTCGGCTGTGTGCTCACTTGGGCCTTTGGTCCTAGTGAGATGATAATATGAATATTTGTAAAGGTACAAATACTTGTTATGAGCATACCAGCTTCATTTAAGTTTGAAACACAATATGCCTCACTCTGAGGGTGACATGTACCAGATTTCATCACACTACAGAGAGCTGTTCCTCAGTTACTGTGAACATTTTTACTGAAAGACATTGAAAGCTAAATTGACCTTCAATATCAGTTGCGACTATTTCAAAAACAATTGTAAAGTGCTTCATTCAGTGTAATATTGACAAACATATGACAATGATATACAACTATGTGTATAAGAGTTATTTAGACTTCTGCGGGAAAAGGCACATTAGAGAACAAGAGTCATCAGAAAGATGACATATCCCCCCGGCAGCTGTCTGTAAAGTAACCACTAGTGCATTTCTGTATGTAATGAGTCAACAGTTGAATGTTCTTTAAGAAGCATACATTTTTTACCCACAAAAGATCCACCATGGTCACATCCATATGAATGCCAAGTTTCGATCAAATACATTGAATGTTTTTCTAATTCTGCCCCAGAAATGAACCTCATCCCCAATTGAGTCTATGTCCAACTTGATTCCATTAAAAAAAATAAATAAATAAAAATTAGAAAAATCCCAAAATTTGAAAGGCACCACTTCAGTATGTGCATGATAGCTTTGCCAAGTTTAGATCAAATACACTGAATAGTTTTCGAATTCTGCCCCGGAAACGAACCCCATCCCCAATTGAGTCTATGTCCAACTTCATTCCATAAAAATTTTAAAAAATAAAAATTAGAAAAATCCCAAAATATCAAAAGGCACCACTTCAGTATGTGCCTGATAAGAGTTGCCAAGTTTTGATCAAATACACTGAATGGTTTTCGAATTCTGCCCCGGAAACGAACCCCATCCCCAATTGAGTCTATGTCGAACTTCATTCCATAAAAATTTTAAAAAATAAAAATTAGAAAAATCCCAAAATATCAAAAGGCACCACTTCAGTATGTGCCTGATAAGAGTTGCCAAGTTTCGATCAAATACACTGAATGGTTTTCGAATTCTGCCCCGGAAACGAACCCCATCCCCAATTGAGTCTATGTCCAACTTCATTCCATAAAAAATTTAAAAAATAAAAATTAGAAAAATCCCAAAATATCAAAAAGCACCACTGCAGTATGTGCCTGATAAGAGTTGCCAAGTTTCGATCAAATACACTGAATGGTTTGGGAATCCTGCCCCGGAAAAGGAAATGATTACGGACGGACAGACGGACAGACAGGCTGATCACTATATCCCCCGTATTATATGCCGGGGGATAAAAAGTAAGTGTATGACCTGTTGCCAACTTCTATCCCTGCCCTAAGGAAGAGTTTGGCCATTAACAATTTTTTTGTCTGGCTGTGACATTGACCTTTGACATAGCAGATCAATGTGTTATTCCAAAGATGTCCAAGCAATGCATGGTTTTATACGATAACTGTGGCTATCAAACTGAGGCAAAATATTGGAAAATCCCCATTTACACAGCTGGCTAAAGAAACAAACAACAAACAAATTATCAATTT